ACCAAGGAAGTTCCTACAAGGGGCACGGGGTCTTTTCCATGTTTTCCAGGTGTTTGTGGAGCTGGCTAAGGAGCAGGAGGAGGAGGACAGCAGCTTTGGCACCCTGAACAGCAGCCTGTGGTGGGAGAGGACGCAGGAGGACCGAGTCATTTTCTGAGCTCCTCGTGCTCCTGTGGGTGCCAGCTCCGATCCTCTGGCTGCTCCTGGAGCTGGGGTGGGCAAGGACAGCTGGCTTGGGAAGCCCTGAGCGTGTCCCACCATCCTGGCCTTGGCAATAAGGCTGCAGGGGCGGTGAGCATCGCCCTGCTCCTCTGGCTGACCCCAATCCGTCCTCCCCTGGCCGCCCCCGGTTTGTGTTGGGCAGGAGGGCACTGCCACGGCAGCCTGGCGTCTCCTGGGCTCAGTGGCTGGTTCAGGAGCTGCCTTCCCTTGGCTCTGCTGGGCCGGGCTGTCCTTAGGGGAATCCTGTGCTCCAGCGGCTGCTGGAGCGTCCTGCCCCAGGGCTGCAGGCTCTGGCCGTGCCCTTGGCCGGGCTCTGCTGCCCTCCTGCACACCCAGCCCTGCTCCTCCACCAGCTCAGCCATCCCTGCTAATGCTTTGAAGATGCACCTGCTCAGAGGAGAGGGGGGAACCCGCTGCAGAGTGGCTGTGCCGCTGCCAGGAGGGGCCTGAGCCAGCTCTGCTCAGAAAACCTGAGAAAGTTCATTTTCAGACCAAACACGGCACTGTTGGCACTCCCAGTCCTTTCCCCGCAGCTGTGGGTGCCATGGGGCTTGTCCTGCGTGCTGGGGGGCACAGGGGGGTGGCCAGAGGGGATGTGCTCCTTCCCCTGCTCGGTTAAAAGGACAGAGCAGGGGCTGTGGGGTCTGGAGAGATGTGTCAGAGCTGTCTGCTCCTGCCCCTGCCCGGGACAGTGTCCTGCCAGCTGCTCTCACACACTGATGTTTGCATTTCCCCTGCCATGAGCTGCAGTGTTCCCAGCCCCTCCTTGTTGTGGTTGCAGTCAGTGACACAGGGCCCAGCCTGGCCACTCATCACCCCTTTTTTGTAAAACCCCAAATTAAACAGTCCCAACTCACAGCCTCATCCATCAGAAAGGTGCCTTTGGTTTGCACAGAAGCACTAAGAGTAGAATTTGTGGTCCTTTAGCCTGAGATATGACAGATATATGTTGAAAATGTATTATTTTTTTGGTTTTTTCTACACAAACATCGCATTTTTAGCTTTATAAGGTGAAATATAAGATTGCTCCCAGTTTATTTTGCTCTGCAATGAGCAGATACAGAGATGTGTTTCTGTTGAGACATTGGCTTCATAAGTCGTTTATGTATCTTCACTTTAAGGTTAGAAAAGACCTTTGTTTTTCTTGAGAAAACAAAAAAAAATGGTTAAAGTTGGAGCTGTGTGTCCCAGCTGTTTGTAATCATCAGGCAGTAATGTTTGATGTGTCTGATAATGGTTTATCAGTGTGTTCAGCCAAAATGTTTCCACTGGTTTCTTACATAGGGAGATGGGAACTCCTTAAGCAGAATTTCACTTCCTCTTCTGTACCCACAGAAATGCACAGTTTTGGGTTTGCAGTTAAAACTGGAGCCCAATCCCTACGAGAGAGCTCTGGACATCCCATTTGCTTCCCCAGGGAGCCACAGCCCTGGAAATGAGGGATTAAAAGGACAGGATGAAATCAAACTTCAGCTCCAGCACTGCCTGACAGGGGTGAAACTTCCCAGTCAGAAAAGAAAAAAAACCCCCAAATTCAGGTGTTTTATTTATTTAGCCCCAGCCCTGCTGCTGGCTGGGAACCCTGAGTTTTTGCCTTTATTTGGAGCAATTTGGGATTTAGAATTCTCTTGGCACTTTCCCATGCAGGTGTGTACAAGTTGAGTGCATTTTTCCCAAATCTCACATTTCTTTGGTCTCTTTTTGCCAATGGTGTTTCAGCCAAGTGTCACCTTCCCATCAATCCAGCACATCCTTGTCACGTGGATTTAGGGAATTGTGTGAGCTGTGAGCAGCCTTGGTGTCTGCCTTGAATTTATTCTTTCACTTGGAGTTAATAGCTTGTAAAATAGTTCTGTGCTGTCTGTTTGGGATATTTCCATATTTCCTCACGTTTCAGGTGTGAAAATTTTGGATTAGGAGCTGGATTAGCTCAGTTTGGTGCTGTTGTTTATCTTGGAGGAGCCCAGTGGGTGGTGGCACTTGTTTTTGTGCAGCTACAGAAAGGACAAAGAATTTGGCTCGTTAAATTAATTCCCTGTTAGGGCGGGATCTTTTTTGGCTTGGTGGCATCGTGTGTCAAAGTGGGGTAAAATTCCACCCCAAAACATCACTGTCCTCGTATCAGAAGCGTTTCAAAGCGTCCTAAAATGTCTGGAATTGCCAAAACAGGGACAAACCCAGGGAAAATGGAAGCAGGGAGTGCCCTGGGAACAGCAGAGCTTTATTCCTGTGGCTTGGAGCCCCTTTGTTCAGCTCTCGACATTCCAAATCCCATCCATCCAACACACACCCAGCCTGTGCTCCCAGAGATAAACTGGATTTGGGGAGGATTTGGGGTAAATCCACCCATTCTGGGTCACCATTCCCAGGGAGATGTTTGGAGCTGCAGGGTTGCTGTGAGCTGTATCCGGAGCCTGGGAAGCGCGTTCACTCAGTGGTGTCGTTACAAGGTTGTGTTTTCCTGGGGAGAATTTAAAGTGCCCGGTTTCGTTTACGTTCCCAAGTCCTTATTTAAGAGTATCTGTGTTTAGCAAGTGAGATTTATTGCACAGGCAGCAGGAGCAGAAGGTGTCAGGCCCGAGGGTGACACCTTTGTGACGCTCCTCCTGCTGCTGCACCACGTGCAGCTCGTTTTGCACACTTGCCTTTCTTTCACCACTTGGCTGTACTTGGAAAGGTGAGGGTTTTCCTTTCCCAGCAAGAAGTACTTCCAAAATAAAGATGGATTGGGTTGTTAAACTCTTGGCTCCCTGGGTGTTTTGCTGTGCTGGAAATGGGGATGGTTTTCAAAGCCTGGGCTGATTTTGGGGTGCCCCAGGGTTTCAGGTGGTTGGGCTCAGGCAGAGCGTGGGGGGCCCTGGCTCGTGGCATGGCCAGGGCTCTCAGGCTGCAGTATTTACATATTTTAAACTGAATTTTGGGGGAATTTTGCAGCGTTGCAGCACTCAGGGTGGCGTTTTGCAGCCGGATCCATCGAGCCCAGCTTTGGGCTAGCAGTGACCCCACGGCACATCGTCCATCTGCAGGGGTGAATCGCCTCCAGCCACGGGAAAACCAACCCCAGTAAAAGAAAACCAAAAACAATTAATTTTTGTGCCTGGAGCTGTGGCCAAGGTGAATTCTCTGTGTGGCTGCTGGCTCTGGGCTGAGGGGCAGTGAAATGGGGGCAGGTTGGGATGTGGAAGGTGCTCTGCAGGGATGGAGGGCTCCTGCTGGCTCCCTGCACACACCCTGCTGAGGAACAGGAGCTGGGCACCTCCAGCCTCATGGGTTGCTGAAGGCTGCAGCAAAATAAAAGGGGTTTGTTTGTGCTCCCTGTGCTCCTCAGTGGAAAGGAAAATAACCCCAAAGAAGTTTAATCTGAGCTTGGTGACAGTTCCCAGCAGTTCATCCTCGTTTGTTTCTGATGGTGTGGAAGGGCAGTGTGCCATGCATTTTTATTTTTTTTTTAAGCTGTAAAATTAATTCATTCCCTCATAATGCTTCTTTTAAGAGATGTCCAGAAAGTCCCTGATTTAACATGCTGAATTTCTCTTTGATAAGGGCTTCCCAGAGCTCTCTCTGTTCCTTTTCCCTTCGCTTGGCATGTCCCCCTGGAAGGCTCTGGCTCCCATCCCAGCCCCTCTCCTCCTCCTGGCAGATACAAAGCCTGGTCCTGAGTGTCCTGCTCAGAAATCCTGTGGAGCATCTGCTTGGGGGATTTCATGAGTGATATTTTGGTATTTTGAGGTGCTCTGTGCTCTCAGTGAAGCCCTGAGGGGTTGGGGGTCCCACTTCAGCAGCAGGGCCCGGAGCAGGACGGCAAACCCCAAGCAATGCTTGCAGCAGGTGTCATTTTTCTGTGGAAAAGCCTTTTCTGTAGCTAATGTGCAGTCAGGGCAGGGCTGGGTCCCACGCTGAGGCACAGGTTTTGGTCAGAAAAGTGCTGTTTTTTGGTGAAGTGCACCTCAGATGGGCTTTTTGCTGTCACGAGGAGCCTTCCCCGTTGCTCCCCTGTTGCCCAACGCGAAGGGATGCCGGAAAACGCTTCTGCTCCTCTCCTAAATGAGCTCATGCCTTGAAAATGAGTAAATCAGCAGCTGCAGCCTTTTGTTAAGCAACAACCTGCCAGCCCTTGTGGTTTGAGGCAGCTCTGCAAACCCCAGGCACAATCCTCAAGCTGGGGAAGTTCTGGGACGGTCAAATTCATTTAAACTGGTTGAATTTTCCCGTGGCCCTGCGCCCTTCCAGCTCGTTTGGATTCCCTGGCTTGTCTGATTGCCTCACCTCCCTGTTTTGAATGCAGATGCACTGGAAAGATGTTTTGTTTTTAAACGCCCAACACGCTCCATCCTGCTTCCAGCTGTGCGGCAGCTGCTGGAAAAGCAATTAAAAAGGAGTGGAAATTGGGGAAAAATCTGCTCAAAACGACAGGGAAAGGAGAAAGAACTAAACAAGAGCTAAAATCCCGTTGGTGCTGGGATGCAGGATTTGTCTCAGCAGAGGAAGGAGCTGAGTCAGGCTCTGGGCACGATGGGGACGAGGCAGCAGAGTTTTCCCTCTGGAGAAGCTGGGACAGGGACAAAGTGGCTTTGCCACCTCTCAGGAGTGACAGTTCACCCCATCCCAGGCCACCCCAGCTCTGCTGCCTGCTGGGAACATCTGCAGGAGTTGAGTTCAGTCCTCCAGCCCGTGGTGTAAACATCCCCAGGCTCGGGGCCAGCCGGTTGTAGGTGTTGTTCCAGCGTTGGGTCATCGCTGCAGAAGTTTTGGGAGGGTTTGCGCGGGTGACGTCAGGCTGGAGAGGGGCATGGCCACCGGGCTGGGCCACCGAGCTGAGCCTCCCTGGGGCTGAAAAGGGACCAGGAGCCCAGACACCTCAGAGCTGCAGGAGACCCTTCCCAATGGAAAACACACCAGCAGGTAAGGAGTCACATTTTTCTCCTTTTTTCCAAGGGAGAATTAATTTCAAAGTAGAGGTTTCTCCTTTTTTCCAAGGGAGAATTAATTTCAAAGTAGAGGTTTCTCCTTTTTTTTCCAAGGGAAAATTAATTTAGAAGTAGTAGAGGTGGAAAAATTCTCCCCGGGGCAGTTTCATGCAGGGGTTGAGTTTTCACCAGGGGATGATCAGTTTTTCCTAATTAATGCTTTATGATGCTGAATGCATAAAGGCTGCACCTTCCAGCTCTGTTTTCTGGTGGACTGTGAGTTCACAACACAATATTTTAGAGGAAAAGGAGGAAGAATATTCAGCTTTTTCTGGGTGTGTGTGGATTTTGGTTCTCCCTGTGGCTGAAGGTGAAGAGCTGCAGGTTGAGCACTGGGGGATGACCCCTCCCTTTGCTCTCCTCCTCCTGCCTTGCTGTCACTAAAGGCCTCTAAAAAGGCAAAACCCCCAAATTTCACTTCTCTGGATGAGCTGAAGTGTTGAGCTTTGATGAAGGGCAGGCTTAGAGTTGTTATTTTCCAGCTGAGAGTAGGAAATAACAACCTGTTCCAGTCTGTGTGTTGGAGCGGAGTCAGTGCAAATCTGTCTGGGATTTGTCAGATGCAAGCACAAAAAACTGCGAGAACTGGCAAGCAGGAGGGGATGGAAGGAGCACCTCTGCACTCTCCACGCGCAGGGATGAATCCTTGCCTCTGGAAAAGCCTCTGGGAAGTGTGAGATGCAGTGTGGATTTCTCCCTTTGAACCCAGCACCGAGAGGCTCCTGCCAGAGCTCCTGAAGTGCAGCTAGATTTTAGGAACTGAAATCAGAAACTCCAGGAGTGCTTTGGGTTGGAAGGGACCTTTAAAAATCACCCAGTCCCACCCCCCTGCAAGGGGCAGAACATCTTCAAACAGACTTAAGTTAAATTTATAAAGGACCACGGTCTGAAGAGCAGAATTCCCAGAGACAGTAAATAAAGGGATTATATGGGATGTGCCTTCCTGGGACAAGTTTTGGTAGAGCAGAGCTGCATGCAGGAGCCAGGAAAAGTTCTTGCAACACCCTGGCAGTGAGTTCCTGGAGAGCAGGAAGTTTGGATGCACTTAATGAGCCCCAGGGGACATCCAGCTTTACAAGTGATGCTCTTAATGAGATTAAAGTTTCCCAAACATCATTGCCACCAGTTTCTGATGTGTTTGTTTTGCCTTCTGCATCTTAAGTTTTGAGCCTCAGGCCTTGCAAAGGGTTCTCTCTTGGCTATATTTTTAACCTTTTTGGTAATTATCTAATAGATTAATTAGATATCTAATTTGAAGTTAATAATAGGTAATATTTATTAGGTACCTGATTGAAAGTTAAGCCTTTGTAGGCAGCATCACTTGTTTGAATTCCTGGTTTCATATTTGGCTCCCAGTGGTGGTTGCTCCTTGCTCCAGAGGCAAAAAAGTAAATTAAAATTGATAGAAACTACATTAAAATTTTCTAAAAAGTTTTAGATTTGCTCCATCATTTTAAAACTGTTTGCTGTGACTGTAGAGATTCCGTGCATCTTTTAAAGACCATCATGTTTTCCTTGTTATCCAAATACCACCACACTTTGTTTACTGCCCCAGCATCCTGGGCTGAGCCACTGCTTTCAGTTCATGACTGAAATCCAGACCTGAGGGGAAAAAAAATGAAAATTAAAGTGACACTTCCTAGAAATCCCTTCCTGTTTACCTTTAACCTTCAGTGCAGCAGGGAGGAAGTGTGGGAGGAAGCTTGGGCAGGGCAAGCTGAGCACCAGGAGATAAAATAAGATAGATAAGCCCTGTGATAACACAGAAGCTGAACTGGGATCCTGGATCCCTTGCCCCCGCAGCACACAAATATTTAATTCTCCCAAAAAGCAAGAAGTGAAGGGAACAGAGCAGTGGAACCCTTTATTAACTCCAGCTGCCCAATCTGTGAAATCAGGAAGTGCTGTCCAAGGGGAATGGAGCACTCTGAGGTTGCTTTGATTCGAGGTTCCAGCCATTTGAAAGGATTAAACCCCAGGAACACTTTGGGAGGTTCCCTGCCCTGCTCCCAGGGTGAAACCCATCGCTCTGAACTTGCTCCTGTTCTTGCTGCTTGGCCAGGGGATTAAAGCTGGAGCTGAAATAAACATCCCAAAGAAATACTCCCTGCTGGGTGTTTAGCAGGATATTAAGGAGCACATGGGTGTTCTAATCCTGCCCTGCTCCAACTGCATTAAAGTTCCTTAATATCTGGGTGAAAACAGAACAATCTGGTTTCCTACCAGCCTGCTGAAGGCTGGCAGTGGCAGCCTCTATTTTGGGTTATTTTTAGCATCTCCCCAGCGTTTGTAACGTGATTTGGGGTCTGGTTCAGAACCCAGAGCACGTGAGCAGCGGTTTGCCAACAAACCACGTGTCTGAGGCCAGACACAAATTCACTTTCTGTGCTGAAACAAGGAAAGTGAGCGGTTGTCTCGTTCCACAAAGCCTCTTTGGGATGAGGAAGGATGAACCTGGATGAGGAAGGATGAATTTGGGTGAGGAAGGATTAGTCTGGATGAGGAAGGATGAATTTGGGTGAGGAAGGATGGACCTGGATGAGGAAGGATGAATTTGGGTGAGGAAGGATGAATCTGGATGAGGAAGGATGGATCTGGGTGAGGAAGGATGAGTCTGGATGAGGAAGGATGAGTCTGGATGAGGAAGGATGGATCTGGGTGAGGAAGGATGGATCTGGGTGAGGAAGGTGAGGAAGGATGAGTCTGGATGAGGAAGGATGAATTTGGATGAGGAAGGATGGATCTGGGTGAGGAAGGATGGATCTGGATGAGGAAGGATGAATTTGGATGAGGAAGGATGGATCTGGATGAGGAAGGATGGATCTGGATGAGGAAGGATGAGTCTGGATGAGGAAGGATGAGTGTGGGTGAGGAAGGATGAGTCTGGGTGAGGAAGGATTAGTCTGGATGGGGAAGGATGAGTCTGGAAGAGGAAGGATTAATCTGAGTGAGAAAGGATGAACCTGGATGGGGAAAGATGAACCTGGATGGGGAAGGATGAGTCTGGATGAGGAATCAGATCACTCATCTGTTTTATTCTAAATTATATAATTTTCTTTCTCAGCTGGAAAAATGCAGAGGGTATCCAAGAAGGCCTCACAAATATTGCAGCAAACCTGTGCTCTCCTGTGGAAAAATATTCTTCTGGTGTGGAGGATGAAGTCAAAAAGTTTTCAGGCAAGTTCTTCCGAAGGGAAATCAGCATTTCTACTACAAAGAGTTTTCACGGTGCATTGTTTTCGTGTGAGGGGATGTGAGAAGGCTCAGCTGTGGCTCCCTGGGAAATGTCAGCAGTTCCTTCTTCCTGGGACACTACAAATCTGCCTCGTGACAAAGCTGGCTGCTCCCTTTAGCTTGCTGCTCCTGCCCTGTCCAGAGGAACACAATGTCCAATTCATGGTTGCAGTGTCAAATTACCCACAGACCTCGCTGGCTCTGGGACTAAGAAAACATGTTTTCCATCTGAAACCTCGCTCAGATTTTAAAACCATCACACCTGTGGCCCAGCTCTCCCTGGGGCACGGGGGAAAGGCTGGAGGAGCTGGATGGGGCAGTGGGGTCGGAGCTGGGTTAGAAGGGCCCTGGAGGAGCCTCCCTGATGCCTTGGGGTGGCTCCTAAAAGAGAGGCTGGACAAGATTAGGAGAATAAAAGCGGGTTTTTATTGAAGGCCTTCAGTAGGTGCAGCTTGGGCAGTCAAAGCCTCCAGGGGCTGGATGGTGGCCACGAGTTCTTCACACTTTTATAAGTTTGGCCCATTTACATGGCAGGGGTTCATCCTCCAATAACAGCTTTGGGGAATGAAGCCATTTACCCCACGTTTCCCCCCAGATTCACTGTTTCCATCTCTCCAGGCCTGAGGCAGTGAGGTGTCCTCCATCCCCAGGCCTGGAGAGGAATTGTTGTGCCTGAATAAAAGGGGAGAGCAGCAGCTGACAGGCTGTGGGGTTTGGAGTTCCACACTAAAGCAGTGCTGGTCTGAGAAACAGAAAAGCTCAATCCTAAGGCATCATCCCCACCCCAGCAATTCCCTGGGCTGCCCCTCACCTCTGCATTTCCTTCCTTCCCTCCAGGAGTGGGTGGCATCGCTGGTTTTCCTCTACATCCTGCACGACTCGGCCAGTCTGATCATGTACTACCCCACCCAGGAGTTCCCCTACAAATTCCTGGGGCGCCTGGACGACCCAGCCTTCAACGCCTCGGGGGTGACGCTCATGTTCACCCCTGCCACCAACACCACCAGGACAATAATGGCTAAAGTGGCCACCAGCTCGCCACTGAGGGGTAAAAGCTCTTAAATCCATCTTCCTGCAGGGTCTGATGTGGACCTGACCCTCTCTCATGGTAGGGGAGGGACAAGAGCGTTTGTCCCATGTGATTTTCGAGGGATCAAATGGTGGTGATGCCCATTTTCGTCGCTGCCTGAATAATCAGAGTGTCAGCCTTGCTGGTTTTATTTATTCATTTAAATTAATATTATTTATCTATTCCAACGGCAGGTGTAATAATAGAAGAGATGGAAAATGAGGAGAAAATGGAAGAAAAAGCAATTTCTGAGGAGGAAACTATTGGTGTTGTTTTTAAGGATGACTTCTCCTACACTCTCAGATTTCCAGTGGGCAGAGCGGTGTTTCCAAATGAAGGCTTTGAGCACATCGGTAACCAAAGAAATGAAAGAAATGAAATCAAACCCCAGGCTTTGATTTTTGCATTAGAAACTGTTCAGCAGGATTTCTGTGCTGCTGTGCCAGCCCAAGGGCACAGAGGATGCGTGTGCCAAGTGGCTCAAGGGAGACATGAGTTAAAATTTGAGGGTTTGTGCCTGTAAAAGGGAAAAAAAAAATTGCCAGAGAAAAAATTTAGGATGTATTTCCTAATGTAGGAATGTAAGAACAGAAATGTCATCCACAGGCAGAGAATGAGAGAATCCCAGCATGGTTTGGGGTGGAAGGGAGTTTAGGGATCATCCAGTGCCTTTTTGCCCCTCTCCCTTTCGTACCTTAACACATCAAATCATGCCTGGAAAATGAGAATTGTGTGTGCAGTAACAGAGATTTAATGCATTAAAAGATAAAAGGCTGGGTAATCCCCAACCTTGATCTTCTCACACTAAAGTAAAACTCATTTCCAACCCCACATGTCACGCACAAGCACTTACATGCACATGCATATGGAAATGTATTAATTAATCTTGATTAATTATTTATTAATAATTTGCTTCCCCAACAGAAACCTGCTGGGATTTTTCAGCAAGGCACTGCAAGGTTCCTCTGTACTGGTATGGGGGATTCCTCTCAGTGCAGTCCAGCATCGATGCAGCAGTCATAGAGGTAAGTATGCTCATGATGGAATTTGCTGTTCTTCCCAGAGTTCTGTGTAAACTTAAAACCCAAACTGATTAAAGCAAAAGCAGAGGGGGGAAATAAACAAACCCATCCACCAAGAAAAGCACCAAGCCAGTTCATTTTTTCATCCCTAAAAGTGTCCAAGGCCAAGTTGAACAGGGTTTGGTGTAACCTGGGATAGTAGGAGGGGTCCCTGCCCATGGTAGGGTGTGGAACAAGGGGATCTTCAAGGTCCCTTCCAACCCAAACCATTCTGGGATGCTTTGAATTTCGTGGTCATCAACTTCTTAAGTACATAATTTAAATTTGAAAGAATGACAGATCATTCTCACAGCTCAAGGCAGCAAATGGAATGATGTTTATTGCAAGGCAACACAAAAAGATCATAAATACTGATTATTTGCTTATAAACTTATTATTGACAAGTTGATAATTCTAATGTTTGTAACTCCCTGATTGTTCTGATGCTGGCTATTTCATTGCAAAAATGAAATGAATGTCTGATTTCTCTCCTTTAGATGAAAACCAACCACTCTGTGTGGAAAGAAATGAAGTCAATTACTGGAGTTCACCTGAAAACCGTGCTGAAACCTCTGTTTAAACTGGATTACATTTGGTTCATTATCTGTGCCATACTCAGCTACGGCCCATACATGCACTTTTTATCAGTCAAAGTTCTCAAGGAGAAGAAGAAGCTGAAGATATTGATGAGAGCAATGGGTCTGCAAGATATTTCCTTCTGGTAAGTCTCAGAAATTAATGTGTAATTAAAGGGATTATTTTATCAAGATTATTATTTATTATTTTATCAAGTGAGCAGCCTGGTCTGGTGGCCCCTCCTCGTGGAGCAGGGGTGTGTGCAGCAGGGCTCTGGGTGTGGAGGGGTGGGTTGCCTCCAGAAAATGGGTGGAACACACAGGAAAAGCAAATAAACAACAAATTCTGGAGAAACCCCTTAAATGCTGAAGCAGACGAGGGACACAGGGTCCATCCAAAGAGTCTTTCCTAATGGGCATGAACATTTCACAGCATCAGGAAAAGCAGATGGATGAAAGGTGCTGGCTGCAGGTCCTGTGTGTCCCTTTGCTGCCATCACTGCACCTGCAGAGATCTGGGCACCTGAATTTGTCAAGAACCTTTTTCCTGAGCAGTAACCAGGCACTGAACAGGCTGCCCAGAGTGGAGTGTCCCTCACTGGAGATATTCCAGACCCATCTGGACACATTTCTGTGCCTTCTGCTCTGGGATGGCCCTTTTTGAGCAGAGACATCAACCCTCTGCGTCCCTTCCAACCTGGCCCTTCCTGTGGCTCTCTGGTATTTGCACCTGTCCAGTCTGGAAACTCTACATGGATGAAAATACAAAATATTTGACCTAAATCCACTGTGCCTTGTATTGGCTATGCCATGGCAGCTGCTGTCACGCTCAGGGACAGAAACAGCCGTGCCTTCCTTTGCAGGTTATCCTGGAGTTTGCTGTACATTGTGTATGTCTCCATCACAGCCAGCCTGCTGACCTGGATCACCCTGAGTGAAGTTTTCAATCACAGCAGCTTTTTGGAACTGTATTTTTTTTATTTCTTTTATGGCACGGCATCTGTAAGTTTGCTTTTGTGTTATGTGATGCACATTTTTTTTTTTTTCCCCATTTCCTAATTAAAATATCTGAAAGACTGAGTTTTTTAGGGCTGGTATTACGTGAGAAAGTAACAAAAATACTGTGATTTATTATTTGTAAATTATTTATTATTATTTATACCACTCCCATTACATTTTGGGAGATTCTGACTCGAAATCAGAGTAAAGAGAGGTGCTAAAATGAGGCTGGGAGTGATTTGTCTGTCCCTATAAACCTGCCCTAAATCCCAGAGCTGTGTGCTAAACAAAGCCTTGTGCTGAAACCCAGCTGGGTCTCTAACTCTGCCCCTGTTTTCATGTTGGTTATTTTCTTAAATTGCAGCAGAAATGCACCCTGCTAACCACTGGTTTTCCCTGCTGCAGATTCACTTCACTTTCCTGCTCAGCTCGTTGCTAAAGCAGCCAAATATTTCCAGTTTTGTGGGATTTCTCCTTCACATCCTCTTCGGGGCACTGGGCTTTTTGACGTTGTTTGAAAAACTGCCACGGGCTTTGGAATGGATTTTAAACCTCTTCAGTCCTTTTGCCTTCACAGCTGGCCTCGCAACGGTATGTCCATAACAAACCCAGGGCAGCACAAAACCTCAGCCCCAAAAATTCTGCCAGGGAGCAGCAAAATCCACAGTTTGCATCTGCAGAAAAACCCAGTCACCCCCTCTTGCTTTTAAAAAGAAAACCTCCCCCCCCCAAAAAAAAAATCAGTGCTAAATCGTGGCAGAGATGCTTGGACACTCAACTGCATCACGGGTTTTCCTGCAGCAAATTGAGATCTCCACAAAATGAGAGGTGGGATGTGGCTGGTGGGTACCAAGAGAGCAGGAACTGCAAGGGCTGGAAGTGCTGCCTTTGCAAGCAGCACGTGCATCGCTCTGTAACTTCTGCATGGTTTGAAATTCAGCTTACTGAGGCATTTCTGGTGCTCGTGGTCAGGAGAAACCCTTCGCCTCCTTAGAAACAGCGTCGTGGTCACGAGCGAATTGGGTTTTTGGTGAAAATGGCTGTGATGACACAGCAGGAGCTGGCACAAAGTATTTCTGCCTGAAGGAAATTTTGCATCTGAACTGTGCTTTTTTATTTTTTCCCTCCCCTAGATGGTAAAACTAGAAAAATACGGACCAGCATTTAGCCCAGAGCTGCACCCTTTTCGTAAGCTGTACCTCATCCTGAGCTTGGACAGTCTGATTGAGCTGCACCCTTTTCGTAAGCTGTACCTCATCCTGAGCTTGGACAGTGTCTTGTATTTCCTGCTAGCCATCTACTTCGATAAGGTTTTGCCTGGTGAGTGAAAATCTGAGGGTGAAAATGAAAAATTCATTACTTTTTCTTCTATAATTCCATGCTTTGTGGAGGGAAAGTTCCCAAAGGGGAGGTGAGAGGAGAGAAAGATGCAGCCCTGCAGTGAGGCACTGAGATCCTGCTCCCACAGGCCTTGGGAGGGTGTTGTAGGACTTGACCCCAACTTTTGGAACCAGAAAGGTTGTAAATGTGCTGTGATGATTCCCCACCTGCATTTACAGATGTGGACAGCTTAAACTGCAGAATTTGTGGGTTCTTTCTCTCTGCTGGCAGCTCACGCTCTGCAGCTGCCGGGGGAGCGGTGGCTGGGCTCTGGGCTGGGCCTTTCAGAGCTGACGGACGGAGCTTTTGGGGTTGCTGTTTCACCTTCTCTGTCTCTGATTCAGGCAAGTACGGGGTTCCACATCCTCCTGCCTTCTTCCTGAGACCCTCCTACTGGCTCAGGGGCAGCAGTGGGTCCGTGGGGGTGAGAGCTGGCAGCAGCCACGACCCCGTTCTCGGCGGTGACGCCGAGCCGATGCCGCCGGGCTTCGAAGGCAAGGAAGCCATCAGGTGAGGAGCTGCTTTTGGTGTGAAAAACACAGCTCTGCAGGGATTGTTTGGCTCTAGAGAGCACAGCCACGCTGCACTGCTGCCTGTCAGGCTGGCACTGTGGATAAGAGTCACTCAAACGTGTGGAAGGGAGGGGTTGTTCAGTGTTTCATCCCTCTCCAGAGCTGGATTTGAATATTTGTTTGGATTTTTTGGATGTGGGGCATCCTCCAACTTCCTCTCAGCAGCGAGTCTGTTCGTCTTCCCCATCATCTTCAAGCACAGAGAAAGAAAATTGAGAATGCTGCACTGCCCATCCTTGCAGGGCTGGGTGGGCTCGTGGCTGATGCTGCCCACTGGTTGTTACCAGAAATCAAACAGAAATCTGCCCAAATATCAGCTAGATCATCACCCTTAATTAAATATCCATGTGTTATTCCCCAGATCCTCCTCCTTCACTCTTTAAACATTCCTGAAGTTTATCTTTGAGACCTTTTAAACAGCTTTTAGGAAAGTACAGGACCTGATCCTGCTTTAAATCCAGAAATTAATTACATCAAGTGATTCCTTCCACAGGACCAGTTTGAGGAGGAGGAGGTTGGAAAATACTCCCCCAAAAGTTTTCAAAGGTTAATTTGAGGCAGAGGAAACAGCCCCAAATTGTGATTCAATAAGTAATGGCTTGCTTACTTTTCTTTAGACTAAACAATATTAAAAAAATATACAAGAAGAACAACAAGAGCACCGAAGCTTTAAAGGGTAAGGAGAGGCTTTGTGATTCTTTTATTCATTTTTCACTAGATAAGAGCCCAAAGTGGTTTGAAATGTACTGGCTGTACTGAATTCTGCCTCTGGGCCTGCTCAATTATATTGTGCAATGGTTATTTCTGCCGGGGTAAATTACTGGCAAATATCTACCAGGTTGTTATCTCCCTGTTCCCTCCAGGAAAATCACTGTTTATTATTTTTTGCAACAGCAGAAGTCTCCTTAAAAGCTGTGTTTTTGCAGTGATGAACCACTCTAGAAATCCCCTCTCAAATCTCCCTTTCAAAATGTAAACTATTTTGGGCAAACTTGAGATTTTATGGCCAAATCTGCTGTCCCTGCCTGAGCTGTGCTCTCCAAGCACTTGCCAATGCAAATATTTGGCACATAGTAAAGTCATGGGGTAATAAATGTCTTTGTTTAATAAGGACTCCAAGCAAAAATATCAAAAATTAAAAAAATCCCCAAATATTAAAAATATCTATATGGCCTCGAAGGTCTATATTGAGTGGAAACAAACTAAACAAACACAACTTGAACAACCCACAGAAAGGCAAAGTATTTTTTAAAAAAAGAAAATGAGGTAGGAAAGTCTGTCTGCTTTGAAATAAGTCTTGAAATTTTCACATCCTTACTAAGCTCAGGCCTAACTCCTGAAGAGCCAACCTGTGCTTTTGGATCTGGTTTTGCCTCTCAGCTTCTAAAGAAATGTCACTTCTGGCACCTGTGGCAACAGCTACAGGTCCCAGTCCACTGCTGATGCACTTCCATCCCACTGTTGTCCTATTTTTATTCCAGGTTTGTCCTTAAATATCTATGAAGGCCAGATCACAGCACTGCTGGGTCACAGTGGGGCTGGGAAAACCGCTCTGTTGAATGTGCTCAGTGGATTTTCCAAGCCTTCAGCAGGTGAGGTGAAGATGATGATGATGATGGTGGTGATGATGATGGTGATGATGATGGTGATGATGGTGATGATGATGGTGATGATGATGACAATGATGGGCCTGGATGCTGGCAGCTGTTGGTTTCTTCAAGTGTAAGGGGGAAATGTGGAAAAAACCTCCAGTTTTCCCTCAGGAATTCCTGCTGGGTTGTTGTGAGTGCAGATTTCTCCTTCAACACGAGCCCCAGGGATGATGGATCCCTCAGGTGGGCACCATGGTCATTTGTCCATCTGGATGACCTGCTGCTTTCCATCAGCTGCACACCTACAGGAAACACGTTTTTATTTTTAAGGGAGGGTTTTGGTGCTGTGAAATACTTTTGAAAGGTGTTAAATCTTTGGGCTATTGGGTTATTTTGCTTCTTTGCTTTTTGAATTTTTAATTTAACACTTGAGAAACATCCATGGTGCTGGAATTAATGTCAAATGTTTCATTCACTCCCCTGTGCAGGCTCTGCCACGATCTACAACTACAATGCTTCTGAAATGTGGAATATGGAAGGAATGCAGGAAAGGATTGGGATTTGCCCCCAAATTAATTTGCATTTTGAAGCCTTAACGGTGAAGGAAAACCTGAGAATTTTTGCTCACATCAAGGGGATCCAGTGGAAGGAAGTAGATGAAGAGGTTGGTATGTGCTTCTCAGCCACTGACTTCTCTTTTATGGCATCTTGGGCACTTTGTGCTTTATTTATAAAAGATGGTCACCTACATCTTATTCTCTGGAAATGAGAACAAACCTAATTTAGTGGCAGATTGGTTTTCCAATTCTTTCTTATCCTCACATCTTGAGTTAAAACTCAGATTTGTCTTATTTAGCTCCAAGGAAATCCATTAAGAGTGGGTAAGTTTGAAATCTTGGAAGTTGTGATATTTGTAGCTATTTAGGAACCCGAAGGTGCCCAGGGCTTTGGAAATGTGATTCTTGTCTTGGTGTGCTCCCAAGGTGCAGAAAGTTCTCGTCACGATGGACCTCACTGATGTTCAGAATGTTTGTGCTGATGCCCTGAGTGGGGGACAAAAACGAAAACTGTCTCTTGGAATCGCAATTTTAGGGGATCCCCAGGTAGGGACCAGTCGTGTTTATGCACACACACAACATTTATTGTTTTGGGACATAGCTTTGCATTTTAACTTGGCACAGAGCCTGTTGTGATTTTCCCCTGCCATTCCAAGCTAATTCCCTTATTGGAAGGATTGGGGAATCTGGTTCAATCAGAGCTGTATTTTTAATTAGAGGGGTGGCAATACTGCAGCAGGAGGAAGAGCAATAAAAACGAGCGATACTTGAGGACGCCCTCTCCTCTCTCAGCAAGGCCGCCAGAAGCGCGAAACGAAGCGGTGCAAGCGTGGAACTGAGCCACGTGAGCACGGCTGGGGCGAGGGGAGCTCTGATCCCGTTGTCCTCTGCAGGTGCTGCTCCTGGATGAGCCCACGGCGGGGCTGGATCCCTGCTCCAGGCACCACGTCTGGAGCCTGCTGCGGGAGCGCCGCGCCGGGCGCGTGACGCTCGTCACCACCCAGGCCATGGAGGAGGCCGATGCTCAGGCAGGTGAGCCCAGGGGGGCACCTCAGGAGGTGCAAACCGGGGGTTCCCAGGGCACAGCCCAGCTGTGGGTCCCACTGTGGCACAGCTGGTGCTCGCCGCACGCGTTCTGCCTGACAGCGACCACCCAAGCAGCCCTGACACCAGGCTGATGCGTCCCTCCAAGGCTTTGCTCCTGCTCCTCTGCAGGATAATTTGGTCTTCTTCAGGATAAAGCACTTCCACGTTATCTGGATTTGTCTCTGTGTCAGTAAAATGTGGTTTATTTTCTTGGATTTCACTTGCTGCTACTCCCATTTCCGTTTTATTCCTGTGCTGTGTGGGAAATTCTCCACGAGCCCACAAGAATGCAGAACTAAAAGAATTAACCGTGATGTTGAGGAGGAAGGCATTGGCTTACAAATAACAACAAAAAAAAAATGACCTTCAGGACTGGCCTGGTTTTACTCCTCTCAATTTATTATGAAAATGTCTGCTGGGTTCAGAAGGAGCAGAGTGAGGTCAGTCTTGTAAATCCTCCTAAATCCTTTGTATTCCCTCCTCCTTAGATCGGAAAGCTTTCCTCTCCTGTGGGAGATTACAGAGTGTTGGCTCATCTCTCTACTTGAAGAGAAAGTGGGGAATTGGCTATCACTTAAGGTAAAAACCTTTGCTTTTGGTCATTGTTCTTTTTGTGAAAAGCTTCTCATTTTCATGAGTATCTTCTTGTAGAATCTGTGGTTTTGGTTGAGTTTATATAGACAGTAATAGAAATCCTGACAATTCATTTTAGAGGAACTTAAAGGCTGCCAAAATTCCCCTGCTTTGGACAACAAGCTGCCTTTCCTTGGAACCCGACCCTGAAAGCTCTGAGCACGCAGCTGAGGTGACTTTGCACCTCCTGTGCAGCTGACAGGGGACAGGGTGAGCTGATCTCTGCCTGACGTGAGATGGCTGTGATGCAAAAGGAGCTTGATTCCCGAATTTCCAAGATTCCAGGATTCCAGGATGATAATTCTTCACCTCAACCATTTTGTGCATGCATGGCAAAGGCACTGCAGGTGGTTGTAAACATTCCCACTGAAGTTCTGCCCAGTTTTGGGAGGTTTCCCTAAGGAAGAACCACCACTGGCTCTGGACTCCAACCAGATGATGCACCTTTATTTTTTCCTAATATAACATAACAACTTAACATTTATATTTTTTTTGTAACAGGATGCAGATAAATGACCTGTGTGACCCAGAGCTTGTGTCGTCCATGGTCAGACAGTACATCCCTGATGCTGTGCTCCAGGGACAGAGGAGGGATGAGCTGTGTTTCAGGCTGCCTCTGGAAAACACCGACAGCTTCCCAGGTAAGAAACCCATCCCTGTGCCAGGGTTTTAAAGGGAAATCCACTGGTGGGAAAAGTAGAAATTAAAGTTATAGTGAAGAGAATAATTGTATTCTTTGATTCATAATGTGTGATATTAGGAAGCTGCATAAATATCAGCTTTACAGAAAGCACGTGCTAATATTAATAATGAAGATGAAAAAAAAAAAGAAAATCCACTAACTAATCTACAAACTAAATTCCACTGACCTTCTGTTTTCAGGATGGTTAAACTCAAATTTGACCAAACTAAAACTCAAAAACCCAAAAGCCCAAAAACTCAAAAGCCCAAAAACTCAAAAACCCAAAAACCCAAAAACCCAAAAACCCAAAAACCCAAAAACCCAAAAAACCCAAAAACCCAAAACCCCAAAAACCCAAAACCCCAAAAACTGAAAAACTCAAAAACTGAATAACTCAAAACCTTGAGGTTTTTTTTGACGAATCTAAAGCACTACATCCATGAAAACCAAAACCACTGAATTTTCCACCTGTAAAAAACACGATGAATTTGTGATGAATTTGAGCTGACAGGAATTGATGGCCAGGCTATGTGGATCAGTGGTGAGTGCTGGAACACACGGTGTGAGCTGGCGCTCATGCTCAGCCCCAGCCCAGGCTGACTCCGGTTGTTTCTCCAGGTCTGTTCAGCCACCTCGAGAGCAGACTCTTGCAGGGGGTTGTTCACTTCGAGGTGACCAGGACAACCCTGGAAGATGTTTTCCTGAGGCTGCAGGGTGGGGAAGCCATCGATCCAGAAGGTAAAGCGTTGACTCTGTTTTTCAAGCGTGCTGTCCCTAAAGTTCCATCTAAATGTGTTTTAATTGAATTTCTAATGAATTTCTGCTAAATGTGAATATTGATAGGCCCAGAGTGGCAGTTGTATCCCACTTGCCTTCAGTGAGGAATAACATCTTGGACAAGCCCAAATAAATCCATCTTGGCTTCCTAAAGGCTTTTAAGCTCAAGAATTAATTCTCATGTTGGTATTTACCTTTGGAGGGTTGTACTGCCCAGACCAGCAGGTTGGAAGGGATAAAGTTTGCAGAAGGCATTTCCCAAAGCCAGTGAAGATCTTGGATGTGTTGCCACACCAGACAGTTTGAATTCACCAATATAAATTCTATTCTGGATAAATTATGGCCCCTTTTCTCTGCCCTTAGTACTTCTCTTTGTGAAAAATAGAAAATAAAATAAAATAAAATAAAATAAAATAAAATAAAATAAAATAAAATAAAATAAAATAAAATAAAATAAAAATTATCTTCCGGATGAATTATGGCCCCTTTTCTCTGCCTTTCTCTCTAAAAAACTCTCTAAAAAATAAAATTAAAAAAATAAAATTAAATTAAAAAATAAAATAAAATTAAATTAAAAAAAATGAAACAAAACAAAACAAAAATAAAACAAAACAAAATAAAAATAAAATAAAATAAAATAAAATAAAATAAAATAAAATAAAATAAAATAAAATAAAAATTCTCTTCCGGATGAATTATGGCCCCTTTTCTCTGCCTTTCTCTCTAAAAATAAAACTAAAAAAATAAAATTAAATTAAAAAATAAAATAAAATTAAATTAAAAAAAATGAAACAAAACAAAAATAAAATAAAGTAAAATAAAATAAAATAAAATAAAATAAAATAAAATAAAATAAAATAAAATAAAATAAAATAAAATAAAATAAAATAAAATAAAATAAAATAAAATAAAATAAAATAAAATAAAATAAAATAAAATAAAATAAAATAAAATAAAATCATCCCTGTGTTCAGAGCAGAAGATCCTTGATGACTGTTTGGGATTCAAAGGTGTCCTGTCAAGGCTCTTTGTGGTAATGGCATTTCTCTTGGTGAACACACAGGAGATGGAGACCTCGAGGAGAGGGACCAGAACCTCCCGGGGTTCTCCAAGCAGGGGATCCTGGCCATGAGTGGGATGATGCTCTGGAGGCAGCAAGTGTGTGCTGTGCTGAGAATCCGCCTGCTGAGACTGAGGCACGACGCAAAATTCCTCAGGAGCGTGTAAGTACAGGGGCTCCCACCTACCCTGGAGCAGCTGAAATACATCTGGGGATGTTTGGAAACCGAGAATTAGGTGGGAAATGTTTCAAAGCTGCAAAAATAGGGGCAGCCTGGACTTAGTGGGAGAACTCTGGCTTGCTTAAGTTTTAAATTTCCCCATAAATCACGCAATTACTTATTGGTGGATTTCCCCTGGCCTCACTTATGGTCTGTTTTTCCATCTAGATTGCTGTTATTTGGAACATTTATCCTTCCACCACTGATGGTTTTAATCCTGTTTCATCTGTGGCACAACTCCAGCAGCTGGGAAATCACCTCTAGCCCGTATTTTCTCCCCACAAAAGAGAAAATTCAAAATAGGTCTACAAACCTCCTCATCTTCAATGACACAGGTGAGGAACAACATGTGAATGTGACTTTCTGCACCAAAATCTGTGAATTTTATTATAATTGACAGAGCAACCTTGCAAATGGCACAAATATATAAAGGAATGTGCAATGAGAGGTGTTTTCTTTTGAGCACAAGCAAATGCAGTTCTAGTAATGATGTAGATAAGTAAAAGAGTAATGAACCAGGCAAGTTAAAAAAAATAAAAAGCAATAAATAAACTAATTTTGAAACATATATTTTGTTTAATCAGTTTAAATGAATAAAAAATATATAGGAAATATGTGTTGGCTTAGAATCTCAATATTTGGGGGCTTTAACCTCTGCTTTGCAAGTAGGAACTTGTTTATATGAAACTGTTTCTGTTTAAAGAAAAAAAAACCCTCTGATGACTCTAATTTCTGTCCTTGACTTGATTTCAGGATCAGAAATCGAGGATTTCATTGCTGCTTTGAAGACTCAAAACATAACCCCAAAAATAACCCAGGAGAAAAACATCACAAGCCTTCCAGATTATAATGGAGCAATAAAAATATCCCTGGAAGGCAAGGTGAGAGATATTCTTTCCTTCTTTCATCCTGTACATCAGCAGGATTTTCTGAGAAGTATTTAAACGAGAAAAATAAACACACCACAAAAGGGAGAATTTGATTTTTTGGAGCATAATAAATCGTTTTGGTAGTGCTGTGTCGCTAGAGGACACAAAGTGAAGGTTCTGAGAATCACAGCAGCTGGAGGTTTTTTCATGAGGCAGAAAAGCCTTTATTTTGGGTTTTTCTCAACCCTTTTATAAGGTGTTCCAATCCAGGTCACCCTAATTGGTAGAAGGAACAACACTTCCTTCATCCCACGGGTGGGACAAGAGAGAAAACACTCTCAGAACATCTGTGTCTTGTTTTGGGAAAGTAAAACCTTATTTACACAACAATCCTTGAGAGAAGAAAAAGCTCCCCAAAGACTTTCCCGTGGGAACAATCCATTCCTGCGAGCTTGAAATTCTCTCAGGTTCAGAATACCATGTCCAGGGTGCTGCTCACACCTCCCAGGGACATGAAGGGGCATGATTTTGTTCTGCCATCCTCAGAGCCACCAGTTCACGGTCATGTGCAGCCCAGAGCCCATCAACTGCTTCCCGATGCTGATGAACATCCTCAGCAACACCTTCCTCAGGCTCTTCCATTCCACCGCGCGCTTCCGCGTCTGGAGCCAGCTCTTCTACACGGTGAGGGCCAAAACCAGCTGGGATAGCTGGGATGAGGACTGCACAGCTTGGGAACCTGCCTGGGGGAGCAGGATCCCAGGGTTGAGGGCGGTGGTCTCACTGCTGGTGGTTCCTGGGGGTGTTTGAAGATGATTTTTCCTGCAGGGTTCTGCGGGGTTTTGGTACCGGGGGATATTTATGTTTGTGCTGTTTGGAGGGAGTTGGGATTGTTCTCGGGAAAGAGAAGTTTCAGGGTGACCTAATTGTGGCCTTCCACATTGAGAGAGACAAGGGCCTGGAGTGCCAGGACAAAGGGGAAATGGCTTCCCACTGAGCCAGACGGGTTTAGATGGGATATTGGGCAGGAATTGTTCCCTGGGAGGGTGAGAGGCCCTGGCACAGATTCCCAGAGCAGCTGGGGCTGCCCCTGGATCCCTGGCAGTGCCCAAGGCCGGGCTGGACAGGGCTTGGAGCAGCCTGGGACAGTGGGAGGTGTCCCTGCCATGGCAGGGTGGAATGGGATGATCTTTAAGGTTTTTTCCAACTGATGAATATGGTGGGAACACAACACTGATCTTTGCAAACCCCACCTCTCCTCAGCAACAAAAAGTTGGCCTCCATCCTCAAAATTTCGCAGTAATCCAAATTATTTCTGCAAATTCTAGGATGCTAAGCATCATTATTTTGTTCTTTTTGCTTTGTTTTCTGTTGTTAAGCACAACTGACTTACCATTAGTGCTCTTGCTCACTTGTTCAACCACCTCATGAGGCAGCCCAGACTTTCCCTGGGCAGCATCAATTATGGATGGCTGAATTTCTCCCCACAGGGAGAAAACGCAGAGCTGAAGAATTACATTTTTTTCGGCTTATTCACCTACCTGCTGGTTCTGGCTGCTGGTTTGCCTCCTCTCTTTGCCATGGGCACCGTGGAGGATTACAAGGTAAAGAGCAGGAGCTGCAGGTGGTTCACCAGGAGTGAATGTGATGCAAAATATCTGCAGAGCACTAGTGGGGAGGCACAGGGTGCCCAGAGCAGCTGGGGCTGCCCCTGCCTCCCTGGAAGTGCCCAAAACCAGGCTGGATGGGGCTTGGAGCACCTTGGGATAGTGGAGGTTGATCATTAAGGTCCCTTCCAACCCAAATAATTTTGTGATTCTGTGATTTCTCGGTAGGATGATAGAAGAAAATCAGTCAGGTGAGCACCAAAGTGCACTTCTCAGTCACACTGGTGGTTGGGTTCTTTTCCCCAGGACCGAGATTGATGAGGGAGAAGCTGTCTCTTCATGTTCAGACTTGGTTGTTTATTCTTTCCTAATCAATATCACATATGTACAGAGTACAAGGAGCTACACTAAGGTAGAGAGGTGCAAAATGGCTAAGGAAGAACCTCTTCAAGGTCCTTTCTGTGTCTGTTTGTCCAATTAACAAACGCCAAGTGAGTTATTTTTCTTAGTGACCCAATGACCTGTGTGCTGCACTGCAGCATTCTCTATCCAATCACTCATAATTACCCCAAAACCCTTGGAAGAAGAAGATGAAGAAGGAAGAAGAAGATGAAGAAGGAAGAAGGAGAAAGGGACAACACCCTAAATCTTCCATGTTGCCTCTTTATTCTCTGATATACCTTAAACCTTAAACTCTAACTTTCTCACCCAATGACTTAAGAAAACTCTACTTACACATATTCCCAGTTTTTCTGTTTAACTTTAAAGCTGTCTCCATGGGGCTGTGCTAAACCCAGTGCTCTCCTGGGTGTCAGAGCCAGGCCCCACAGATAAGGGGTTATTTCTGTGCCCCTGACCCCAACATTTCTCTGCATCCCAGGGGGGCAGCTGGAGCTGACAATAATTCACATGTTAATAAAGCTTTTGAGATTGGAATGATTTCATTTTTTTTTTTTCCTTTTAGGAATGACGTGGTTTCAAAGAGTGGTTGTGCTAGGAAGTGCTCAGGAAGGAGAGGAAGGGAGGAGCAAAGGAATGGAGGAGGAGCAGGAATGATGTTTTAGACTTTCCCTTTTGGCATTTTTGTCGCTTTTGCAGCTCCAGGCTCGCTCTCAGCTGCGGCTCGCGGGGCTCTTCCCCTCAGCCTACTGGTGTGGGCAGGCTCTGGTGGACATCCCATTCTTCTGGAGCCTGATGTGCCTCATGTTTGGGCTCCTGGTGCTCTTCACCCGCATCTGCCCCTTGGAGGCCAAAGCTGTGCTGACCCTGGTGAGCTCTGCGCCATTTCACCCCAGGGTTTGGGTTTAGAGGGTTTATTTGCAGTGGGTTTCTCTGGGCAGGTTTTCATGTATCCACAGGCACCTCCTTGTCGCTGATGTTTCTCTCTCTCTCTCTCTCCAGCTCATTTGCCTCTTTGGTTATGGAATATCTCTCGTCCTCTTGGTTTATTTAATGGCCTTCAAATTCCGCATGGGACGAAGCAATCGCTTCGTTTGGTCCTTAACCTTCATTTTGGTAAGTGAGGAGCATCTTCACTCTGAAATGTTTGATTTACACACCTTGCCACTTGGGGTTTCGTTTCAAATTTACGTCAATAAATTTCTATTTATAGCAATATTCAGCAGAATAACCTGGATCACTGACAAATAACCTGGTTTTTTTTTAGCAACAATACATTAATACTGGAAATAGCTTTTTTGCTTTATTCCAGGTGAATTATGCTGCTTTTATGAACAGTGACCATAATGAAGCACTTTACTACATCTGTATGCTGATTCCTGTCTTTCCACCTGTGGGCTGGATCATGTTCTCTGGACTAGTAAGCAAAACACATCCTGCTAAATTCAATAATTATCCTAATGCTGCAGACTGGCAAAGCAAGAGGCGCTTCCCAAATTCCCAAAGAGAGATAGCAGGAGAAGAAAACAGGAAAAGAGAAGTTCCAGGGTCTTGGGTGAGAGAAGAGGCCAAGATCTGACCTGTGAATCCTTTGGTTGATTGGGATATTTTTGGTTTGTTTGGTCACTAAGAGCTGTTGCAGTGGCTGTATTTCAGCAGCAAGGGTGGCACAGGAGGGGAAAGTGGTGGAGTGGGAAGTCCAGGAAGGAGGAAGTGAGCTGGGAGAAAGCCAAAGGACTGGGAAGAGAGAAGCAATGATAGAAAAGGTTGACTTAACCTGACTGACTTGAGGCATCTAAATTACTGTATCCAAGGAAGCCACAACCCCTTGAGGCAGTAAGGACCAAAGAAAGGCAGATGAAAGCTCCTTTATCCCATCCTGAAGAAAAGCTGAACATCCCTACCTTCCACACTTGTTCTGACACTGCCCTGATTGATCAAATTTCTAATTGACTGGTCTCCTTTTCTTCCAGAATTTCCTCATGTATAACGATTACACAATTTTTGAGACATGGAGTTACATCTACATGCCTGTCTTTGCAGTAAGGAGGGACTTGGAGGTGGTTGCTTGGGCAGAGATGGCTGTCACTGATGCACTGGGCTTGCACTGGGCTTGTAAACTCTCCCCATAGAGAAAGGATGGGTTTTGTAGTCAAAATCTCCCATTAAGTGTTGGCAGGGGAGGTAAATTCCAAGCAATCCTGGGCTTGTGCCTCATGTGGATTTTGGATACTGCCAAAATGAGGAAGGGGGCTGAGTGGAGCTCATGTAGAAGGCAGAGATATTAATAATAAACTGATCATCCCAATGCTGCTTCTGCAGAAGAATGAGATGAGGATGAGAAACATCCCATAGGATGTTTCTTGGTGGTGCAGGTGGGTTATCTGGGCTAGAGCTGCTGTAAGAAATCCAGGCTTTAGCAAATAATCTGAATATCAGACAGGAATGTCTGCAAAGCATCAATTCAGCTCCTTCCCCTTGCAGACCTTTTCAACAGCTGAAATTAATGAGACAGGTTACTGCATCCCTTTATAATTATAATTAACAGTGTGTGTTGCTACCTTGTCTCCACACAAACCAAATCAATGTCTGTGTTTCAGCCGTACATCCACTGTGTGATTTTTGTTTTCCTCCTACGTTGTTTGGAGATGAGATATGGAGAAGCAGTCCCAGGATTTGATCCCATCTTCAGGTGTGTCCCAGGGATTCCACAGTTATCCCAGGGTGGGCTTGGAGCTGCACACCCTGACAGCAGGAGGGAAAAACACCATATGTGAAAAATGTTTTCCAACATTTGGATAAAGCTAGTAGTTTTAATTTTTTTTATGTTCTTGAGAGGATAAAAAACTGTGATTTCAGCTTTTTTTTTTAAGGTTCATAGCTGAGATTTCAGGACATTTCCCTACAGGGGGCTAAATTATAGTTCCAAATTTAAACAAAAAAAAAAATTAACTCCTTTTCAAATGTATCAGTATTGCTCCAAACAGGATGGAGACTTTCCCTAAATCTTCATCAGGTCAGGGTTTTCTAATTGCTCTCTACTTATCTGTCACCAACCACCTAATTCAGGTGGGAGAAGACTTACAAGAAGTATTTAATTATCAAACATTACCAAGTGTGGGAGTTAAATGCCCAAACTGCAAACCTGCCACTTGTATTTTAATTCTCCTCGAACAGATGATTGGCATGTGTGGAGCAGGGAACCAGCCAATAATTAAAGATGAAGGAAAAGCTCAAACTGGCCTTTATTTTCTCAGCCATGCCACTGTGGAACAGCTCAGTGATCCTCGTGTGTCCCTTCCAACTCTGAGTCTCTGAGCTCCCCGAGGGCAGATAAATTTTGGGTTTTGTTGGTGCTACCCTGGGAAAAAACCACTTTTAAACACAAACCTTTTTGGAAGTGATTCCCAGTGAAAGCATCTCCCCTCCTCCACTGGTAGGATCCAGCAGAGAAGAGCAGCCAGCCAGCAGAACAAGGAGCTCCCTGCAGAGGAAGCCCCCGAAGTGCAGGCGGAGAGGGACAGGGTGCGGAGCGCGATGGCCTCGCTGCAGCAGGAGGAGGTGAACACAAACCCAGCCCTCTGCATTGCTTTGCTTTCCATTCTCCGTCATTTTCATTCTCTCAGCTGCCTCTGCTTCCTCAGCTCATGCACTCAGATCTGATGTGATCTCACCCTGGCACCACAAGGACTTCAGCTGGCACCGTTATTTTTATTCCCATTCTGCATATTTTCCTTTTTTTTTTTTTTTTTATCCTCTGTTTCGTGGCTTTTAAATTTAGAAATTTTATTTTTTTCAAAGCCCTGCCTAATGGCAAGAACAGATCATCTCTCTCATGGGGTAGAAGGAGAATTTCTTTTCCCTCTCTGTCTCTTCACAGGACTTGGTTGTTGTCAACAGTTTGCGCAAGGAATTCGAAGCCAGGACAGCCACTTCCATCTTTAAGAAAAAGAAGAAACTTGCTGTCAAAAACCTCTCTTTTGGTGTTAAAAAAGGTTCAAGTACTTTGCTGCACTCCCTATAATATAAATGACTGAAATATATAAGGAAGGTCTCATTTGGAGGCAATATTTCTGTTAGAATTTTCCTGTGGGCATTCAGGAGCTCTGGGCTCCTGCATTCAAAGTTTTAATTTATGGGGATGAAACAACTCTTTCTCCTCCTGTACTTTTAAATTTTACATAGAATACAGGGGAGAAGTCATATTACCAGTAAATATTATTAACAGTTGTTGCATATTTGTTCCAGGAGAAGTCTTAGGTCTGTTAGGACCCAACGGAGCTGGGAAAAGCACAACTCTAAACATGATTTCTGGAGGTGTAGCAGTGACTGCTGGGGAGGTAGGTGGCTCCTTGGAGCAGCTGCAGAGATGACCTTGATGTCTTTAAAAACTAAGGATGTGCTAAGGCAATCCAGCAGCATCTCCCTACAATCAGGGGATTTATGGATGTTTATGTACAATTTGTGTGTCCTGGGTATTTACAGAGCTGAGAAAATGCGTTGATTTATGCCAAGCATAAATTCTAGTGTTCATCAAAGTCAGTGTTACAGATTTAAGAGTTTGAGCAACAGGAAATCTTCAGCTGGCATTGGAAACCCATTGTGAAATGTCACAAACCCTGTAAGGATTGTTGACATCTGAAAAAACCCCAAAAATAACACTCTCCACAAACAGCCTTGCAAAACCAGGAAATTGAAAACGAATGTGAGCAGTGTTGGGCCAGTAACAATCCATCACTTAATTACGTGCAGAATGATTAATGACATGTGCTGGGGGAGGAGAAATGCCATTGCTCTTACAGATTTGGGACTGAAGGCTGGAAATAGAAAAGTATTGCTAGGAAAAGGCAGGCTGATATTGTAATACTACCCAGAGTGAAAAGGCAGATGGAGCAGGATCACCCTGCTCATGGTGAGCACTCACAAGTGGCTACTGACCACACAACTGCTTGCCTTGGCCACTTGGATGGGGCTTGGGGCAACCTGGGCTGGTGGAAGACGTCCCTGCCTGTCACACTGTGTTAAGAACAGCAAAGAGTCAACACAGACTCTCTAGCTTTGGATGCACAAGAAAGCGAGTTTTATTCTTCCAGATCTTCTTTTACAGACAGTTCTGAGCAGGTCTGAAAGGTAAAACCTCTCACTGGTCATGAAACCAACACATCACCATCACTGGGCAGTCAGGAACAACACCCCTTGAATGTTCCTTGCAGGAAAACAAGGAACAAACAACACCTGCAGAGGTTGTTTTCCTTCTCTCAGCACTGTTTGGATTCCTCCTTATGATTTCTCAGGCCACACTTTCTCAGGCCAGTGTGGGCAAGTTCTGTGCCTTATTTTCACACTGACATTGTGCTCCCTGCCTGATCTCTCACATCCAGCACCCTGCCTGCCCATGGCAGTGGGATGGGATGAGCCCTAAGGCACCTCCAACCCAAACCACCAGTCCAGGGCTGTGTGTCTGTGCAGGTGCTGCTCAGGGGCCGGGATGGAGCCCCCCTGTGCCCAGGGGCCCTGGGCTGGTGCCCCCAGCAGGACCCGCTCTGGCCACACCTGACAGTGCTGCAGCACCTGGAGGCCTTCGCTGCCATCAGAGGCATGAGGGACGAAGATGCTGCTCTTGCCATCAGCTGGTAGGAATCCAAATGATCTCATCTGTTGGTTCTCCCTCCCTCCCTCCAGAGTCTTCCAGCCCAATCCATCTGTGATTTCAAAGGGAAGGGTTTCTCTGTTAACAAAACTGGCTTGTGGGTTAAGAGATCCTCAGTGCCTCTCACCTTAGAGAGGTGGCTTCTCCTGATGAGGTCTGCTGTTTTTTACTGTTCCCAGTCCCTTGCCAATGAAGGTTGTAGCCCAAGTTTATCTGGGAAAATTCAGAAAAACAAAATCAAACTTGTCCCAGCTCATGGCCAGTTGCATGGGTAACTCACTTCTCTCATTGGCTGCACTTCCTGCCTTGAATTTCTGCAAAAATTCCTCAATTTACCATCCAAGTTAGGAGCAGAATCACCAGGTAACCCAAGGGGATGGGTATCAGCCAAAGCATGCCAGTGTCTGGTTCCTCAGCACCCCCTGACCATGCACACCAAGGTGGTCACTTGGGGCTTTTCCCTTTCCATTCCCCACAGCTTAGGAAGGGCTTTGGATCTCCTGAAGCATTTCAAGACCCCAGCAAGGAGTTTGTCTGCTGGAGAAGCCAGAAAGGTACGTGTTGGATTTGTCTTGATATGTAACCAAACCCTTGGATGTGGTGCAGAGGAAACCTTCAGCTGAGTGGGTGCCTGGCATCATTCATTTCCATCAATACCTTTTGAATCCAGCCTGGCAGGGTTCCCCCTGTCCTCCTCACCCTCTTTTCCCCCTCTCCTGCACCTGTGTTTAATAAGTGCTAACCACAAATTGGATTTACTGTCACCTCTTCACGCCCCACCACCTACATCTGCCAGTAAATGGGATGGAAAACCACTTTCACATCTTTGGCAGGCTCAGGAGCTCTGGGAAAATCTGATTTTGAGAGATCAAAACATTGACTGAGAACACCTGAAGTGGGATTTTTTAAATCCCTGTCCCTCTTGTACTTTGGAATCCAGAGCTTTGAAAACCTCACGGGGATTAAGGTGCACCAGGTTTAAAGGATAAAGGAGTCCTGACCTCATGTTGTTCCCATTCCAGCTGTCATTTGCTCTGAGCATCCTGGGAGAGCCGACAGTGATGCTTTGGGATGAGCCCTCGGTGAGCGTGGACCCCAAAGGGCAGCGCCGCATGCGGTGAGCAGCCCTGGCCTGCAGGAACAGGAACCTGGGACAGCTTTAACGGGATGGACCTGCCCTCCCCATGGCAGGAACTCCTGGGCAGGCAGAGGCTCTGCCCTGGTGGCAGAGGAGATCTGTCTGTTCCCTTTTTCCTCATGCCCAGGGGATGGGGAGAACTTGCTGAGCTCCTCACTTAGCTGGCAGCTGTAATATATCATATCATATCATATCATATCATATCATATCATATCATATCATATCATATCATATCATATCATATCATAATTTATTTTTAAATTATATTATTTTATTTTATTTTATTATTTTATTATTTTATTATATTATTTTATCATATTATTTTATTATATTATTTTATTTTATTATTTTATTATATTATTTTACTTTATTATTTTATTACTATATTATATTACATGATTTTATTATTCTATTCTATTCTATTCTATTCTATTCTATTCTATTCTATTTATTATATTATATTATATTAATTTTATTATATTTATTATATTATATTTATTATATTTATTATATCTATTATATTATATTTATTATGAATATATAATTATATTATGAATGTATAATTATATCATGAATGTATAATTATATCATGAATATATAATTATATTATATCATGAATATATAATTATATATTATATAATATAACCATTACAATATAATATATAATCGTAATATATAATTGTAATATATAATTATAATATAATGTAATAAATGTAATATAATGGTCATTAATACACCCCAAAAAAATCTCCCTAGACACCAGCTGAACCCCTGCTTTCGGTACAAAAGACACAAATCTCTGTTTTCTTCAGTGCAAGAGAAAAAGCTTGTAGGAAGTCCTCCCTTCAGTGCTGTGTTTGCTTTAGCTTTTCATCACCAGTTTACACCATCAGTGCAAAATTTGGATGGATGCTGACGTGACAAATGGTAACATAGCAGTGGCATCCAGGTCAGAGAAAACGAGAAAACTCAATTCTTTGAGTTGTCCGCTTTTTAATTCTTTAAAAAGTTGTTTCTAGGGAGGGAGACCCAGAGCAGGAGATTCCCCGTGGCTGTTCCCAGGGATGACTGTGGTCCCTGTGTTCCCAGGAGGATGATCCAGGCCTCCACGAGGAGCAAGGAGAGGGCAGCCATCCTGTGCACGCAGTCCCTGGAGGAGGCGGCGGCGATGTGTGACCGTGTGGCCATCCTGCTGGCCGGCCGGCTCCGGTGGGCACCGCGGGCAGGGGGCTTAGTCTGGAGGGCTTGTTGGGGTTAGTTGGGTTTTTTTCTTTCTTAATCTAATGGAAAATACTGCTTTGGATGCTGCCACGTGTGTGACAATCAGTTTTGTGAGGAGGTAGCACGGTATAAAGAGCTACAGTTAAAGGATGTACAGTTAAACCTCAGCTCCCTGGAGCCATTGATTTATTTGCTGTTTATGGTGGTTTGAGCAATGTTTTCCCCCCTCTGCAGGTACATCGGTTCCCCTGAGGATCTCAAAAGTAAGTTTGGCACAAGTTACCACCTAGAACTCAAAATGACAGACGTGGGGCAAAGCGACGCTCTCCACTCCGAAATCCTGAACCTCTTCCCTCGCGCAGCTCGGCAGGAAAGGTCAGTGTCCATGGGCTGCCCACAGCCTGGATTTGGGCTGGGATGCTCTTTTCCTCCTACTGAGGAGCTCAGTGATTTACCTGGAGCACAGTTATCCTACAAACCCCCCCAAACTGCAGTGCTGAGTCACAAGATAATAATAAAAATTCTTTTTTTTATTACTTTTTCAGGACTTCTTCCTTACTCACCTACAAGATTCCAGTGGCAGATGCACTACCTCTGTCCAGGTCTTTCTCCAGGCTAGAAGCAGGTAAAAGGAAACAATCAGTTAAATAAGGAAATCACTTTCAAACTGTTTATGTGGATTTGGTTTTTGAGGACCCTTTCTCCACCCCTCCGCAGCTAAACGGAATTTCAAGCTTGAGGAGTACAGCTTGTCACTGAACACTTTGCACCAGGTAGGCTGATGCAGGAGCTCCAGGTTGGGAACTGCCTGTGGGAAAGGAAGAAATAACCTGTGCCCATCACAAATCCATCCAGTCCATGGCAGTGATGGGCTGGGTCCCGCCGTGTCCCGTTGCAGGTGTTTGTAGACCTCACCAGGGATGCAGAAGAGCACGACCTGGAGGTGGCATCCAACGGGGCTGTGGAGCAGAGACCCCTTCACCCCTGAGTCTTGGAGCCACGGTGGGAAATATCCCATGGATTTCATCAGTGTTCCTGGATTTCATCAGTGACACTGAGAGCTGTGATCAGCTGCAGCCCCAGCGCTCCGTTAGCCACCTCACAGAGAAATAAAGAGTTGTTATTTTAATAAATAAAGCCTTTATCCTTTGACAGATTGATGCCTGACACTCATCTGTGGCCCTGCTCAGAGTGGCCCATGGAGATTTGAATTCCTGACCCTGTGGCTGGGAAAGGGGCTCAGTCCCTGGAGGGAATCAGGAGCAAAGCCGGGGAAGGCTCTGACATCCATGGCAGGAGGACAGCAGGTCTTTGCCTTGCCCAGCCCTGAGAATCCCCCCTCTGGCTGCTGCTGATTCCTGGGAGAGAGGGGCACAGGGCTGTATTTTGACCCAAAAAGCTGCTCCTGCTGTGAGTTCCAGCTCAGGCCAACTTGGCCCATCTCATCCCCACCACTGGAGCCAGGGACAGAGGAATGGACTCAGCAGTGGCTGGATAAATATAAATAGAACTGGCAGCTCTTATATCATCATCTGTAAAACCCAGTTGTTATTTAGAGTCCAAATAAGGTGTGCTTTGACCCAAAATAGTGCTGAGGAAGGACAGCAGGCTGAGCCTTGCTTTGGTCATTGGGAAGAGAGGGGGGCTCCTCACCAGCACCCACCCCTGTGGGGACAACTGTGATGGGACAACTGATGGGGACAAGCACCAGCATCCTGACCCTGACTGAGCAGATCAGTATCTCCTCTTGGATATCTGCCTGCCATGGATAGAGTTAAAAAGCAAATTAAAAAAAATACATATATATGTATATATATAAAAAAAAGAATAAGCTAAATAAAACAGGAACTCCCTGCATTCACGTGTTTCCCCTTGTGCCCTGCTGCCCTGCCAGGAGACCAGGGCAGTGCCATCCATGTGGGATGGGCACAGCAGCACTACCCTCACCTGTCCTGGGTGGTGTGGATGGTGCTGGGCTGGGACACGGGCAGGGAGAATTCCACAGTGCTTTGGGCAGACAGGGCTCGTGTCTGGCAGTGCAGGAGGGGATGTGGGCGAGCAGGGGCCAGCAGGTGGCTGCTGTGGCTCAGGGATGGGCTGCTCCTGCCAGGAGAGGTGCCCAGAGCTGGCACCACAGCCCTGGAGTTCTGCTTTCCACAGGGATCTCCCAACATCGGGAGATGGGCAGGAGGACACTCTGAGATTCACCTGGCATCTCCACCTCTTCACAGCAGGGTTGGTTTTTTATCCTTTTGCAAGGAGGGGAGGAGAAGGTTTGGACACCCAGGAGATGTTCTGGGAACAGGTTTTAACTTCACCCCGTGCCCTGACACTGCACCTCTGCTGTCTGCCTCGCTCTGAAACATCTGCATGGGATTTCAATCTTAGGGGTGGTTTTTTCTTGCTGGGCAGAGCGGAAGGAAGCAAATCCAGCTGCTCCACTTCTCCAAGCCCAGCCTCTGTCCCAGCTGCTGGTGCTCCCTCCCACCCCTGGTCCCTCAGCCGTGATCAGCCTGGGGACGCTGCTGCGGGCGACCGAGCTCCACAGCCTGGGATGAAACCAAACCCATCCCCTTTACAAGTGCAGAGTTAGTCAGGAGAAGTTCATGACAACCTTTCCAGGATGTTTTTCAGCTGGAAGAGCTGTTGCTGTGCAGGAGGCAGCACTCCTCCGCTGCTCCTGCTCTGTGGCTGGTGCCATGGGAAGAGTTTGCCACCTTTTGTCCTCCCCTGCCTGTGCTGTGACATCGCTGTTGACTTCAAGCCCCTCTTGCTGCACTGAGAAACACAACGGAGTTTGCCAGAGAAAGGATTTTTGTGTGGTTCCTTGTGGGGCTTGTTTTTCTTCTCTTGGCCACGGCTCAAGAATGTCCCGAGTTAACTTTTCGGACAGTGCGCTCCAGAGCCTCAACAGCGATGTGCTCTGTTTGCTTTTTCTGACACAAATAAAGCTGGAGCTCTGCCAGGGAGGAAGGGGAAGGAAGCCAGGGAAAAAAGAAGCTGTGGTGTGAGGAATGTCTTTTGCAGAAGTGCCTGAGGGAAAGAAACGAGGAGGGAGAGCCGGGAATCTCCAGTCATCCAGTCCATCCCAGGGAGGCTCGGCACCTCTGCTCCTCCAGGACGAGCTCTGGATTCCTCTCAAACCTTCCTGTTGAGGTAAGGCTTAAGCATCCTTCCTAAGCTTAAATAAAAAAATGTTATTTTGAAGGTATGAACGCCCCAGTAAATGCTGTTAATAATGCTGGGTGAGGGTACAAATGTGTACGGGGCATCTTTCTAATAGGTTGAGTCAAGCTTCTGATTAAGCTCAGGGGTGTTTAAAGGCAATAGAGTCTTTTTAAGCTTACTTTGACATGAATTAACACATGAATGGAGCTCAGCTTATGGCAGAGGGTGATTTCCAGTGTTTCTCAGCACTACAAGCAGCAGCTTCAGCTCAGTATTTCAAGTGATCCAGGACGTACGAGGGGCAGATTTCATTCCCTGCCTCCAGTGTAAGCTAAAGTTTGAATTTAAAAGTTCTGTCCATCTTATGCTGCAAAAAAATTCCACCTGAAATACCAGAGGAACAAAGAAACCCATTGTAGCATTGTTTCCCCCAGCTGCCCAAACTCTGCAGCAGCACGGCCGGGGTGGGTGGGCACGGAGGGGTGACCACAGGAGGGACATGTGGGATGTCCGGGATGAGCCCCTGGTGTGCCACCTCCCCACCCCAGCCAGGATCTCCTAGGGGTGCCAGCCTGCCCAGGTGACTCCATGGGACCCTTACAACAACCTGTGACACAAACCCTGTGTCCCAGGGGGAGATGGGCACAGGCGACACTCGACATTCCACCCCTCGCTCCTGTGGGGTTAAAAAGCAACCAAACAACAGCAAGTTTAAATCCACACTTTATTCAAGGAACTCTAGAGGTTATGACACAGGCTAAATTCAAATTTTTATGCACCTGGGTTTAGTGAGATCATCAGTGAGGACAGAATCTGTTTAGAGATGATGGCAGGAGCCAGAGCGAGTGTTTGCAGCCCGTTTGCTGCAGCTCTTTTCCAGCAGTCCAGTGCCTGCTGTCTCATCACACATCCAGCCCCCGAGGGCTGAATAGAAATATTTGGAGGGAGATAAACTCTGCCTTGCCTGTCAGCACCATGAGGCATTGTCCCCCTGGGGAACAGGACGAGGTGAATCTTCCCTATGGCAGGAAGGCTCGAAGGGGTTAGGTCTGTAAAAGCTCTGCTTTTTCTACCTGAGAATCACTTAGAGAAGATCAGGGTTTTGTTTAAAAGCAGATTTTAGCTGCAGATGTGACAGCAGAGCAGTTTGGCCACATGAGCAGAGCCCTTTTACATGGAGCTACTGAATCATTTTGCTCATTAGAGGTCCTCACAGTTATTTTATGGATGCAAAAATCTGACAGGCACCTTTATGCTTCACTTCTTTCAGCCTCCCACCAGCACTAACCAGGCAAAATAATCCTTGCTTTGCTTTGACCATGTCATTTTGAGGATTCTGCCCTGTCTGTTGGAGTAACACATCAGTGCATGCTCGTGGCCACTCAGTTTTCCCTCATTTTTCATAAAAACCCTGCCAGTGACATCTCTCCCACGCACTTCTGAGAGTTTGTTCCCTCATGGCTCCCAATTTCCTTCAGCAGATGCTGTTTTCCACAAGAGCTCAGCACACACCACAGCCAGGAGTTGCTCAACACTTCTTGGTGTTGAGCCTACAGCACATTAAAATTACAAGTAGAAGGATTTTAGGGATTTTAATTGACTATATCGTTGTTGTTTGTTGGCTATGGAGCCCACCCAAGCTGATTAGATCATGTAATGTGATAGTCCCTTTTCTATTTCATCAATAACTCCTCCCAAACCTCCCCATGCTGCAGCATGGAAGCCTGAAATTCTGATTTTCATCAGGGTTTGCAGCTGAGCTGTGAGGGCTGGAGAGTGTGAGGGTGATGAGGTCTCTTGGACCTTGTGCTGCGGGGGTGGTTGTGCTCAGCACACAACATCTGAGTTTCTCCAGCTCATTCTTGCTGTAGAAAGGGAGAAAAAATTTCACTGCACATCTGCAAGGACTGTGCAAATAAAACCAGTTACTGCTGGTTTGGCTTTTGTTGTATTTGAAAGCAATTTTCAAAAAGAAATTGTCTCTAGGTTCAAAGATGAAGACACTCCAGAGGAATATAAGTGTATTCCAGCAAACTAAAATTCTCTTGTGGAAAAATGTCCTGATCAAGTGGAGGATGAAGATGCAGAGTTTTCAGGTAAGGAAAAATTAAAACCAAAACCAAAATAGTAGCTAACTACTGAGAGTGGCCAATCCCTGCCTGCCCTTAGACACCAACTTCTTTGGGTAAAATTAGACCTTGAAGTACTTTTGAGAAGCCTGGCTGGTGATGAACACCTAGAGAGTTGAATTTTGTTTAAAATGGTGATATTTATGTCTGGTTTGTGACAAACGAGGGCACAGATGGGCTCCTGGAGCAGGTGCTGGGCACAATGCAGACAGTCTCATCATCCACACCTAAGAAAAGACTGAGTTCTTCATATTTATATTTCAGTCCCACAAAGACTGAATTCCTCTCGCTCCCCACTTTAATCCCACAAAGAACACGTTTTCATACTGCCATGAAATTCTCCTCCCCGCTCTCCCTGCTGCAGGAGTGGATCCTGTCCCTGCTCTTCCTGCCCCTGGTGTTCATCGTGTCCTCGTTCACGCTGCAAATCCACTACCCTGAGGTGCCCTACAGCCCCCTGGGCCACCTGGATGACCCTGCCTTCAATGCCACCGGCGTCACCGTCACCTTCACCCCCGCCACTGCCACCACGAGACACATCATGAGCAAAGTGGCCTCCAGCTCTGTCATGACGGGTGGGTTTTGCTTCTTAAATTTTCAATTTTTGATTTAACCAGTTGTGCTGTGTTGTAGCATCCTTGAGCAGGAGATAAATTCATCCAGAATCCTCCATTTTTGCAAATATTCCTTCTCTAGGATTTAAACTACCTGTGAGGCCAGCCTGCCCTTCTGAACTGGAAAGCTCTGCCTTACCTTATATTCCCAAATACTTTTAAAACACACTAAAAAATGTTCTTTTGAGGTGCATTTCTTCTCAGCTGGTGGAGGCTGAAGTATTTAGAGCTGCCTCCCTGGCCAGTGAGAGCTGGGAAAGGAGAAGTTGCTAAGAAAGCAGAACATTCCCTCAGTGCCTGTGGACACATCTCCAGACCCACAAAATCTCATGGCAATATTTTTTCTGACACTCCACAGGTATAAAACTAGAGGAACTGGATGATGAGAGAGCCATGGAGAAAGCCTGGATTTCAGATAAGGAAACTATAGGAGTTGTATTTAAGGACAACTTCTCCTACCACCTCAGGTTTCCTACCTCCCACGTGATAATTCCCAATGAAGTCATTGGATACATAGGTAACACAAAATGAGAATTTCAGGGTGGTTGCCTGGTGTGGACAGGGTGGGAAAAATCCATATTTGTTAAGTGATGGAATAAATTGTGGGTTTGGGTGTTCTGGGTTATTTTTACTTGTCATTGTCCATTTGAAGTTTCCCACAGTGCCGGTGTGCTCTTGTCATTACATTTAATAGTGAAAATTAGTTCCTTTTCATCAGTGTGATGCCCTTTGCCTCACAGACAGCTGTTATAATTTCTCCTGGAGGCACTGCAACAGCCCAAGTTACTGGTACAAAGGCTTCCTGTCCCTGCAGTCCAGCATTGATGCTGCCATCATAGAGGTAAATCCAATTTAGGAACTGATGGAGGCATCCTTGTCTTTCAAACGTAATTAGGAAAGGCAATCTCTGCTGTGGGAATAACAAGGGATGGGTTTGTCAGAGAATAAAGCGGCTTTTAAAAGTTAATCCAGGGAGGGTGAAACAGAATATTCCTTGTATAAATGCATCTCACTGCAGAAAATAAGCAAAACACTGATCTACTGACATTGCATTCCTTTAGATGGTGGCAAATCATTCAGTTTGGGAAGAAATGAAATCCATTGCTGGTGTCAGAACAAAGTCCCAGAGCATCATCTTCTCCATCAGCCTGGAGTACAGCTACTTCATGATCGTTATCGTCATGTGCTTCTTCCCCTTCATGTATTTCTTATCAAGGAATGTCACACGAGAGAAGAAGCAGCTCAAAGTGTTGATGAAGACCATGGGGCTGCAGGACATTGCATTTTGGTGAGCTCTTTTTGAAGTGGAATGTCTTTGCCAAAAATCAGTTGGTTCCTGGGCACTAGAGAAGCCAATTAATGAGTTAAATGGGTTCATAACTTTCATCCAGCACTCGAAGCTGTGAGGTTGATTCCTGGTAAAGACAAGGAAACATCATTGTGCAAACACTTCACTCAGTCGGTGAAAAAACGTACTTGCATTGCTTGAAAACTCATGTCAAATATGAATTGATGTGACTGGTCACTGGTTTGGTTCAGTTTCTCAGGCAGAGGGCTGAGCATGGCAGTGCTGTCCTCTGCTCCCCGGGGCATTTCCTCCTGAGCTGGATCACCTGTCTGTTCTGAGGATGTCAGAGAGAAATGACTGCCACAGAAAAGAATTCATATTTGAATTTAAACCCTTCTGACGTGCAGATGAAGCTGTAACCAGAGCTGTTAATTCCCCAGGAGGCTGATGGTACCTTTCCCTCCCCAGGCTGTCCTGGAGCTTGCTGTACTCTCTTTATGTGCTGATCTTCTCCTGCCTGCTGACAGCCCTGGTGCTGTGGGAGCCCTTCTACACCAGCAGCTTCCCTGCAGTCTCACTCCTGTTCTTCCTCTATGGCCTGGCGTGTGTAAGTCAGGCTTTAAAGCCAGATTTCCTCCCCACATGATTTATTTATCACTGTGTTGTCAAACCTCAGCATTGCTCCAGAGCCTTTTGCACAGTGCTCAGGACCTCTGTGGGCCACGCTGGATGAAACATCGGGGTGGCTTCTCTGGGGCAGCAGCAGAGGTTTGATTTGCAGCCTGAAGGGCTGACAGGTTCTTATTTGGCTACAAAAGGCCACGTTTGAAACTCAGATCAACCCACTGGGAAGGGCTTTAGTGGATTTTATCATACAGACTCAGCTCAGCAGAGATCTGGTGCCTGGCAAATGGAAGTGCTGCTGTTAAGGATAATTTATTTCCTTCAGTGGTTGAAGGAAAGCTCTGTTCTTACAGATCCACCTGGTTTTCATGCTCTGCTCCCTCTTAAGGACCTCCAAGCTTGTCAGCTCCATGGGCTTCCTCATCATCTTTATCTTCGGGTTCCTGAGCCTGGCGGTGCTGATAGAGGATGTCCCCGAGCCTCTGAAGTGGTTTCTTGGTCTCATGTGTCCTTTTGCATTCAACACTGGCATTGCCAAGGTATGGGGGCACCACCCCTGCAGCTGAACCTTCCCCTGCTGCTGGAGACAGCAATTCCTGCCCTTGGCTCAAAATTCCAACATTCAGGCATTTTTCCTTCCTCTCCCCAGCCTGTTTGAAACCCCCACATGAGCTGAGCTGTTCTGAGCTGAGCTGAGCTGTGCTGAGCTGGGCTGAGCTGAGCTGAGCTGAGCTGAGCTGGGCTGAGCTGTGCTGAGCTGAGCTGAGCTGAGCTTAGCTTAGCTGTGCTGAGCTGAGCTGAACTGTGCTGAGCTGAGCTGAGCTGAGCTGTGCTGAGCTGAGCTGAGCTGAGCTGAGCTGAGCTGGGCTGGGCTGAGCTGAGCTGAGCTGAGCTGAGCTGAGCTGAGCTGAGCTGAGCTGGGCAGCACAGAGCAGCTCCAACGCCCCCATCCCATTCCCCTGCTCTAAAAGCAATAAAAACAAGCAAGGCCCTTGGCACCAAAAAAAAATCTGCTGCTGTTCACGTCTGCAGCTTCCCCATGAGCCCGAGGGAGCCCCATCCCTGCACACAACAGCCCCATTATCCTCACCAGGAACATCAGGGACAGCATCCTTGGCTGCCCAGCCCCTCCTCTCCTCCCAGCAGAGGGGACTGTGCAAATCCAGCTCTGGATTGCTGCTGCTGCTGCCCTTCCTCCATCCCCACCCTGGATAAACCCCTGCACTTCCCCAGTTTGCCATTAGTCATATCCCCACAGCTCTTCCTAGCTCTGGTAATCTAATATTTGGTTTCTTGATTTGTATTTTTAAAAATCTGCCTGGGAGAGGAGATTTCTGCCTCAGCAGAAAAAGAGTCTTTGTTAATTCGCCATATGATTAGATCAATTATTATGTAAATTTTAACATTTTTTGTTGTGACTCTGTCACATCAAGAGTGCCAATATCAGGTTTTTTGAATTTATGTCCTCTAAAATTCTGAATTTTTCTTCTGTTTCTGGATTGTTCTGGAAAATTCTGGATTAAAGCATGAAGATCTCTGCAGGGAGTAAATTCATTCCCCTTCCCCTTTAGAAAGAAAATAAGAGCAGTTGTTCAGGACTGCAGATGATTTCTGGGTTAACAAAAATTGCATCCATGGCATGTGCGTATTTGTCGAGCCTGAAATTTATTCTTCTTTCCCTTTTATTTCAGATTTTCCATTTAGAGAAATACAGAATAGGTTTCTCCTTTTCCAACCTTATGGAGGAAGCATACTTTTTATTTTCAACATACATACTGCTGGTGTTTGACTCGGTCTTGTACATGTTGCTGGCTCTGTATTTTGACAAAATTCTGCCAGGTAGGAATGATTTATTTTTGTTTACATGGATTGCATGGGCTATACAAGGAAATGATGGGCTGCTCCATTCTTGGACTCAACCAAAATAAAGTTTTGACTAAAAGAAATTTATAATGTCATGCAGTGACTGTTCTTTTTCTGGCACACACCAGATTTACAGAATCAATGACAAAGTATTTAATATTTTATATTTAATATTTTTCTTTCTAATTATGAGATTATAATGTAATAATGTTCATTACAAAAAGCACTGAATTCATGACCTAGACCCCTGAAGTCACCCTTCTTGTCTCATCTACCTCTGCTCTAAACCTGGGGGGGTTTGACTGGAAAAAATACCAATTTTGTACTTATCTGGAACTCCTAAAAGTTTAGTCAAGGGTGATGTCTTGGCTGTGCCTTTGGTTGATGACAGAACATCTTTTTGCTTTCCTGGCAGGCAAATATGGGATCCCAGAACCTCCCCTGTTCTGCCTGAAGGCCTCGTACTGGATGAGGAGCAGGAGAGGCTCCACCAGGGACATTCCCAGTTCCACAGCAAACCCTGAGGAGCTCCTTGGGGACGATGCAGAACCTGTGCCCCCCGAATTCCTGGGGAAAGAGGCCATCAGGTTAAGAGAGAAGGAATTTCTTGTGTCTGGTTTAGTGCTCCCCACTCCTCCCATCAGCCTGGGTTGGAGATTCCCAGGCAGTTTTCGTGCTCACGAGGCTCTTGTGAAACATTTTGTTTCACAGAGAAAAATTAGAGATACAAAGGTAATTCAGACTAGTCACTAAAAAATTTAGATAAATTTAGATTAATTTAGATTAAAAAATAACTGGTTTTTTTTTATTGTGGACTTTCAATGTCCTTTAGGGACAAAAGGGAGAATGAAGAGGGCCACCCATTGTAAAAGTGTTGCAATGAGCTTGGCCTTGTCTTTGCCAATCTTGGTGCCCCCATTTTTGGTGCCAGGTTGTGATGGTCACACCTGGGCACAGAGCCTGTCAAACCCACGAATCTCAGCTTTGTTTCTCAGCTCCTTTTATTTTCTTTATACCATTTCTGTTGTTGTAACTTAAGGTCCATAAAAATGTAAAAGGGCAGCAGGTAAAAGCATTTACAGAAATCAAGTAATAACCTCTTTACCTTCCTTTTAGGCTCCACAATATTAAAAAAGTCTATAAGAAGAAGGACAAGAAGACAGAGGCTTTAAGAGGTATGAAAGCTGTGAGATTTATTCCTGTTACAGACAAGGAAACACCATTGTGCAAACAGTCAATGATAAACCCACTTGCATTGCTTGAAAATTGATGTCAAATATTAATTGATGTGACTGATCACTATTTTCTTCAGTTTTTACTGATTTGCTATTTTTAATAAGACTAAAGAGAAGGCAGATTTTAATTAATTTTTTTTAATCATTTTATTTCTGTCTTTTTTGCTAAATACAGGCCAACTCATGCTTTTAGTTAAAGGTGTGCTGAGCTTTTCCCCACTCAGTGCTCTTTTGGCTAATTGTTATCACTTCATTCTTGTACTTTTTGCCTTCTCCTGCTTTTGACAGTGAGTGGAGGCGATTCAAACCTCATTCCTCCCCAGACTTGATGTTATTTCTGTTGTAGGTCTGTCTTTAAACATTTATGAGGGTCAGATCACCGCCTTGCTGGGCCACAGTGGGGCTGGAAAGACAACGCTGCTCAACGTGCTCAGCGGGCTCAGCTTCCCTTCGGAAGGTGGGAGGAGGCTGGGATGGCCTTGATCCACAGGCTCCAACCACCAATGCACTCCCCCTGATCCCATTTATCCCCGTGAGCAGGCTCTGCCACCATATACAACTACAAACTCTCCGAGACGGGAGACAGGGAGGAGATCCGGGGGATGATTGGGATCTGCCCGCAGTTCAACACGCAGTTTGAGGTCCTGACGGTGAAAGAGAACCTGAGAGCTTTTGCAGAAATCAAGGGCATCAAGTCCAAAGAGGTGGAGCGAGAGGTGAGCGTGTGTTCCCCACCATCCCACAGAGGATCCTTTTGTGTTGGGAAGCTCAAAGAATCCATCTGGATCTCTTGAGAATTGAAGCTCCAAGCCCCATCCAACCTGGCCTTGGACACTTCCAGGGATCCAGGGGCAGCCAGGCCTTTCCTGGACACCCTGTGCCTCCCCCACCCTCACAAGGAACAATTTCCTTCTGATGTCTAATTTACATGTAAATCTACCCTAATAAATGATGAAAGGACAATGGCTGCTGAAAATGGACGTCCTTGTGCTGTTCTAGGTGCAAAACATTCTGGAGCTGCTGGATATCAGCGACATTCAAGACACTCAGGCTGAAAAACTGAGTGGAGGGCAGAAAAGGAAGTTATCCATTGGAATAGCCATGCTTGGAAGCCCCCAGGTAAAGCAGCAGGCATGGCTCTGTGACGTAGGAAATACTCAAGTCCAGCATAATTAAAACCTTGGGCATGCATTTGGCTCTTGGATTTCAGACTTCTCTAAAGTGCTTAAATTAGAATGAATAAAATTCATCATTTCTTTCTATTTTAAATTCATAACCCACCTTGCCAGGTGAGTTTTGAAGCAGACAGAGCTCCCTGAGCTCTCACAGCCCCCAGAGCATCTGCCCTTGTCTCAAAGATGCTCTGGGTCTCTTGCCTTCAGAACACCAAACCCCGAAGACGCGCAACCGCTGCGGCAACGAGGAATGTCTGATTCCATCCCTCCTGCAGGTTTTGTTCCTGGATGAGCCAACGGCGGGGCTGGATCCTCTCTCCAGGCACCAGGTGTGGAGCCTCCTGCGGGAGCAGCGGGCGGGGCGGGTGATCCTGTTCAGCACCCAGTTCATGGACGAGGCCGATATCCTGGCGGGTGAGCGCGGGCAATGTCATCCCTGCGGGGTAACCCTGGAGCACAAAGCCCCAGAGGATGGCAATGACTGCTCTGCACTAGAAATTCCTTTGGCTTTTCCTTTCTCCAGACCGCAAGGCTTTCATCTCGCATGGGAGGCTGAAGTGTGTTGGCTCTTCTCTGTTCCTGAAGAAAAAATGGGGGATTTGCTATCATTTAAGGTATGTCCTTAAGCCCCAACAATACCTGGCAACATGCCAGTACAAAGGGACACCAAAATTAATGAGCAGATGTCATCAAAACAAACAAATTACCTGCATTAAAACCCTAAATTAAATCCTGCATTAAATCCTAGACAGAAGGTTTAGGGTTATGGTTAGTTAATCCAGAGTAGGGAATGAATGAATGAAGAATATTGGAGTTTTCTTTTTATGCATCCATAAAATGGTGGATGTTGATTGTCTGGGTGGGTTTGGATTATTTTTATGCCAAACCTAAACGTCTGTGTTTTTTTTCCACACAACAGGATCCATGTCAGTGAGTCTTGTGACCTGGAGAATCTGACATCCCTGGTGAAAGGGTACATCCCCAATGCCACCTTCTCAGGACACACCCAATATGAACTGAGATATAAACTGCCTTTAGAAAACGTGAATAAATTCCCAGGTAATGAATATGAAAATAATTGAGAATTATCCGTGGGGAAAAAAAAATTATGTCAAATGTGGGGAAGGAGAAATGCAAAGGGAGATTTTTACAGGAATCACATCAGGACTTCAGAACCATCGCAGTTTGGGTTTTCCCCACAATTTTATCATACATTTAAGATCAAATTGTGCAACAAATGGTTTTCTACTGTTTGCAGTGACAAACCTTGCAGACTAAACTGGGACAAGTGTGTTACTGAGAGTTCAGTTCTCCTTCTGTTAAACGAAAAGACGGAAAAAGAGAAAACCCCACACAACCTGCACTGCTCTGTGCCCATTTCTCACCCACCAAACCCATCACTTCAGCCTGACCATTGCACAGAGGATGAAAATAGTCTGAAATGTTGGTGCTAAGCAGAAAAACACCCTCCATGAGGGTCAGCTCTGGCAGTTTTGTGTTCCTCCACACCTTTGTGTCCTGGCAGCTCAGTGCTTTGTTGTATTTTTTGTCACTGGAGATGCTCCAGTCAGGTTGGCTGAAGCAGTGTGGAATGGATATCTGTGCTTATGCCTTTATCTCTGTCCTGCAGATCTGTTCAGTGGCCTCGACAGCTCCTCTGAGCAGGGAATTATCAACTATGGAGTCAGCATGACGACCCTGGAGGACGTGTTCCTGAGGCTGGAGGGAGAAGCCACGGCCCATCAAGAAGGTACAACTTACAATCCACAGCCAAAGAGATCAGCTCCTCTGCAGTGACCTCCGAGGGTGGCTCTTAAACTTGCACGAATCCCAGCCTGGAAGCTGGTGTTAGACACAAATGTGCAGGTGGAATCTCTCCGCAGGTGAGCCCGTCCCTGGGGAGGAGTGGGGAGGAGCAGGATGCGCCGACGAGGCGAGGCCGCGCTCCCTGCTGCTCTCGGACACCGGCACGGCCTCGGTGCAGGGCCTGGCCCTCTGGAGGCAGCAGGTCTCTGCCATGGCATGGATGCACTTCCTGAAGCTCAAGAGCTCGGTGAAGAACCTGCGGTCGATGTAAGTGACGAAGGGTTCCTCCCCTGGAGTTCTGCAAGTGGACACGGTCGCACCACGCCCCTGTTTCCATGAGTTTGGATTAATTGATATGAGGTTTTGGAATGATCTTGGTCATCTGCACTCAGAGGAGGGGAAAGGTTTTTTTCCTTTCCAGTGCCAGGAACACAAAATCTCCCTTTTGTGCATTTTCGTTTCTATGCTGAATAATTTATGCAAGAGAAGCCCATTTTCTTTCCAAAGAAAAGAATCATTTAGAAATACTTTTATATCAAATGGAGGAAGTTTTAAAATTAGTCAGTGTGTACAGAAAGTACTTTCAGGCTTCTTCTATTTTTTCATTTTTTTTTAATTCTTTTGTGTTGCCAGTGACTCATTTGGCCCCACTGGTGTTCAAGCTGGAGCTTCCTGGTGGGGTAGAAGGAACTAAAGGAAGATGCTGATTTATGAAAAACTTGTATCTAAAGGAAGTCTGAAAGGCATTTCATGGCCCTAAATCATTTAGAAAATGCTGATTTATGAAAACTATGCATGTACTGGAAGTCTGAAAGGCATTTCATGGCCCCAAAAAGTTGAACAGTCCATACCTGGCGTTCTCTCCCTGCTATATTTTGAAACATTTGGTGAATGATCAAGGTTCGAGACTTATGGAAATAAAATTCTCTCTGACCATCAGTGACAGGGCCTGAGGGAATGGCAGGAGCTGTGCCAGGGGAGGTTTAGGTTGGATTTTAGGAAAAGGTTCTTCCCCAGAGGATGCTGAGCACTGCCCAGGCTCCCCTGGGAATGCCCCCAAGGCTGCCAGAGCTCCAGGAGAGTTTGGACAGCGCTGCCAGGGATGCCCAGGGTGGGATTGTTGGGGTGTCAAGGCCAAAATTGGATCCATGATCATTGTAGGTCCCTTCCAAGTCAGGATGTTCCATGATTCTATGAAAATTGCCAGAAGTTTTTAACAGAGCATTGGGTGATCAGGTTATCATCCACCATTTCCAACACACAAATGCATTCTGGAGGCATTTCTGCTGGACATCTCTTTTCAGAGTGTTTATTCATCTCTCTCTTAACGCAGTTTGCTGCTCTATGTGGTTTTTCTGCTTCCTCTGGTGTTGCAACTGTGCGTGGTGGCTGGCTGGCAGAGTGTGAGTGCCTGGCAGCTCTCTCCTGCGCGCTACTTCCTGCCCCTGGGGAGGAGATCCTACCTGGAGACCACCGCCCTCCTGGTCTACAACCACACAGGTGAGGGCAAGAAGCTTTTCCTCATCCTTCCCAGTTCTGGGTTCTTGCTGCTCCAAGGGAAAATGCAGGACAGAGCAGATCTGTGAGATGTAGAGGATCCAAGAGGGGATGAAAGCGATAATGAGGGAGGGGGGTAGGGATTGTCTTTAAAGGGTTGTGAGGGAAACCTACTGTGGCTTCAGCAGCTGGTGAGACCCTGCTGAGAGATGTGCAAAAGGGCATCAGAGCAGGGGAGATAAGGTGGGGACAGGGTTCTCTCTCTGCCACGAATCCAGGTCTCTTATCCAAGCAATTTCAGAGTGTGGGATTTTCAAAGCAGGCACCACACTCCAGGCTCACTCGTGCTGAGTCAAATTAATGGGCTGCTTCCAGAGCTTTACTTCAACATTCCCGTGAGTGGATGATATTTCATGTTAATTAGCCAGAGAATGGCACCAGTATCTTCATCAGATGGTCCCAAAGGAAAATTCATTTTGTAGCACTTCAGAAAAGGCATGGGGAAAAAAACACAATTCAGAAATTCAGACTGAAATCCATTAACTTCCCAAAAAACTAAAGCACAAAGATCCAGCACACATGTGCTGGCTGAAGTCCACATTTATTAGATTTCCTCTGTTTTAGTTTGGTGGTCATGGATTTAAAAATAAAAATAAAATCGTCAAAGACTCTTTTGTTTTCCAGTGTTACAATTCCTCTGTTTTTGGTCCTCGCACCAGGCACAGGCATTGACGACTTCATCCATGTGCTCCAGAGCCAGGATCTTACAGTGGAAATAGCAAAGGAGGAAAATATCACAGAGGAACTACAGCACAACGGGGCTATAAAAGTGTCCCGCCAAGGTCAGGTGAGGATTTTTCTCCTCTCCTTCCAGTTTCCTCACAACAAGTGAATAATTAAGCAAGGTGCCTCCATCAGCTCTCCCTGTGGGATGGCTCCATTGACTTTTTGTACCACAGGTATGAAAATGAGGAAGTGTTCTGAGCAGCCCATGCTAGAGGAGACCTCATCTCCCTGACCTTCCACCTCAAAATGTACATTTTTAGCACAGCAATACAGACCTCCAGTACATCATCATTTGCTTTTTAGGAAACCAGGCATAAGCAAAGCTATTTCAGGCCTGGATTTTTCCTGCTGTGCTCCTTTTCTACTGCTTCCCTGCAGAGGAGAAAAGCCAGGAGCTCTCACCTTGTTTTCCTGCTCTTTGAAGAGGTACAGGTTCACCGTGCTGTGCCACTTGGAGGCTGTCAACTGCTTCCCAGTGCTGGTGAACATCATCAGCAACGCCCTGCTGAGAACCCTCAACTCCACCGGGCACATCCAGGTCTGGAGCCACCCCTTCTTCTCTGTAAGTGAAACCAAAAGGTGTCAGAAAACTGTTTAAGGTCTCTCTAATTCATCAGATTTTAATGGGAAGCCTCGTAGGGCTGTCTGAACATGTAAACCCACCCTCCTTCAAATCCCTCTTTTTGTTCATACTGCCCTGTAACCCATGAGAAATGCAGTAAGGTGAATGGTAAAATGAATTGTAGGCATTTTCCACAAACGCTTTGTTCTTCTGTTTTCAGCTGTTCAGTCCAGGATATTGGGATTATTTCATGTCCATTTACCTCGTTTATATGATGCTGTTAGCCCCAGCTTTTCCTCCTCACTTTGCCATGGGCTACACACAGGATTGCAAGGTAAATTCCTAAAATGGAGCAGGTTTGGGGTGGGCAGAAGGGATTACAGCTGCCCTGCCAGAAAGATGTTTGAGTTCAGAATCATGGAATCATTTAGGTTGGAAAATACTTCTGAGTTTTGAATTGCAGGAAAACACAGGCTGAATCCAGCCCTGTGATTGGCACCCTGGGGTGTTTTGATCCATGTGAAGTTTTTTCAGCCAGCACAAAATATTCAAAGACAAAAGGAGGTCGAATTTTACCCCCAAATCACAATGGTGCCAGATTTTATTCCCTTTTCATTTTCTGGGGCCATTCCCATGGGTGCAGCTGGCCAACCAGGCACAGACAATAAACCACCCTTTAAAATCGTGCTTTTCCAGGCAGGAGCTCGTGCCCAGCTGCGGATCTCGGGGCTCTTTCCCTCAGCCTACTGGTGTGGCCAGGCACTGCTGGACATCCCACTCTGTTGGATCCTGCTCTTCTCCATGATTGGGCTCCAGTTTTCCATGAGCAACAACATTTCTGGCAGTGCCAGCATCTTTGTCTTGCTGGTAGGTCCCGTTCTGGTCCTTGCTCTGCTGGGAAGGGGCTGAGGGGAAATATTTTGTGTGGGGGCAGCTGAGACACTGTGGGTGCAGATGATGCTGGAACACTCTTGGTCCTCTTACTGACCTTCTTGTTTTACCTCCCATCCTTTGGGTTTCTCTAGCTGGAAGTAAAAGGCAATAAATCTTGCCTTAATATATCCTTTTACACCTGAGAGTGGTAATTCCTAAATGCCCTGATCTTACTGTGTGATCATTTCCACTGCTCCCCATTGCTACAGGTGGGTTTCTGGTGGTTTACTTCACTCCATTTTCTCCAACAAAAGCCTTTTTTCCCTGTAGGTCATAGGGATGTTGGGTTATGGAATTTCCCTCGTTCTCTTAGTCTACCTGATCTCCTTCAACTCCCGCAAAGGATGGAGCTGTGATCTTTGGTCTTTTATCCTGATATTGGTGAGCACATGGTTGGAAAATGCACTGCTGGGTTCACAGAGATTTTGAGACCTTAAGGAGGAGCTAGATGTCGAAACACCATGCAAAGATGTGGAACATAAATCTGGGTGTGTTTCATAGCAGCCAATTCTGAATTAAATTGGTGTCACCGTGTTCTGTTGCCACAATCCTGCTGTGACATGGGGAAATACCTGGATCCAATCTGAACTGGCGCAGGAATGGAGGCAAAAAAATTAATTTATCACTCTGCTTGACACCCCACATCCGAGAGATGTAAAGTGCTGAGACAAGAGCCATCAGGCTGGGCATTGATCATCCAAGCCTGACCTGGAAGAAGATGGATTTTTGGCATGGATTGGGATGGGAATGAACAGAATGGGATCCCATGTTTGATTTTTGGTATTTTTCTGCCTGAAGCAGCCCTGTCCCTGGGGAGAAGTCTCCCCAGCTGGCCCAAAGCAGCAGCCAACCCACAGAAAGAGACAGCTGAGGATCTCCTGAGCTGTCTCTGTCTCTCATCTTACTCATTTTCTGTCCATTTTTATAAATTCGACAGGGAATTGCAGAGCTAGACTCACACAGTTTTAACGAGCAGTGAGTAACCCTTCCCATCAGCTGAGCTGTCATCCTGTTTTATTTTCAGGTGTGCTTTATTTCTTTTTTCATCGGCAGAATCATTGATCACCTGGAACACCCCAGCACCAGCACCTCTCTCTACACTTTGTCCCTCTTGGTTCCTGTGTACCCCATGATGGGTTTTCTGATAGACTTTGTGATCAACTCCCAGCTTGTGAGTGGTGCTTCTGGGCAAGGAGAGGCCTAAAACACAACGCTGGGTCCTTGTGACCAAAAAATCTGGTGGTAACTGAACCGAAATCTGGTGGTAACTGGACCAAAATCTGGTGGTAACTGAACCAAAATCTGGTGGTAACTGAACCAAAATCTGGTGGTAACTGCTCAAAAATCTGGCGGTAACTGCCCCAAGGTCTGGCGGTAACTGCCCGCTCCAGTCTGGGAAGGCTCATCCTGGGTGGGATTTTTGTTAGGCGGCTGTTTCAGCTCAGAGTTCATTTTTCCAGCTGCTCTTTAGGGCTGGGGGTGACTTCTTGTGCAGCTGTGACTGTGGATTAGGTAAAAACTCCTAATTCTTTCCATGCAGAGTCATAGAATGGAATCAAGGAATGGTTTGGTTTGGAAGGAACCTTAAAGCTCATCTCGTTCCACCCCCTGCCATGTGAGGGGACACCTTCCACTAGACCAGGCTGATCCAAGCTGGCCTTGGACACTGCCAAGGATGGAGCAGCTACAGAGTCAATCAGCTTGGCTTGACCAACCCTAGGAGAAAATCTGAAGGCACAGATCAGTCTTTGCGTGGAAAAAAAACTGAGTGAGAACTCAGAGTACTCACAAGGGGCTTTACTCCATGTCAGCTGAGGGGGGTGGTGGAAAGTCAGCTGAGAACTTAACAAAACCCCCCCAGCTATGTGCAACACTGTTGATAAATGATAAATTACTGAGAGGTGAAGTCCAAGGAGGAAAGACTTCTCTGTCCTGTCACACTTGCCTCTTCTCCACTGGGACCCAGACAGGACATCTGGAAGGAGAGTCCGTGTTCTGAGAGCTGTGACATGTTCTGGTGTAGGACCAGGGTTCCCAAAGCCAAACATCTGTATCTGTTCATCTGCATGCTGAATGTTTGGGGAAAATCAGTAGTTTTGCAGATTTTCAAAGCATTTTTGAATGTTATTGCGTTAACCAAAATGATGCTAAAGAGTTGCAAGTCTTCACTGAGAGTTTTTTTCTTTTTATTCTTACAGATGATTAAGGACAATGAGACATTTAATATGGCTTCAGGCAATCATATCCTGATTGCTGTCTTTGCAGTAAGAAAACATTTAACATTGCTTTTCTTTAAGAATGTGGGTCTCCTAAAACCCCTCTTCAGATATGAGGAAGCAGGAGGAGGATCTGGGTGGATCTGGGTGACATTTTACCCACAGTGCTAAAATAATTTCACACCTTTGAAATGGGGAAAGCAAAATGAAATAAGCCCAGATCACCTCATGTTTATTTTATGAATTGTGATTTTTATGAATTTATGAATTTTGTGTTATTTTATGAATTGGGGTTTTTCTGCCCTTAGTGCTTTCTGCAGTGTTGATTACCCTGAGTTTCAGTGTTAATGGGCTCCATTTTCACTGAAAATGAAAATCCTGTTTTCCCCACGTATTTTATGGCACTGCCACCACCTCAGTGCCAGCTATGGTGGGAGGCAAGGCAAGGCTGTTAATGTGGCAACCTCTGTTTTTCAGCCCTACATCCATTCTGTGGCGTTCATTCTTCTTCTTCGCTTTTTGGAGTTAAAATATGGAAAAGCAGTGCTGAGACAGGACCCAGTATTTAGGTTTGTATAAACACACATGCACGTGTGAGATCTAAACTCCTACCCCACTGCTTCTCCTTGAAAACATCACTGCATTTGTGTCTCCATTTTTATTTATGTATTTATTTTTAATACTGGTGATTTTTTTATTACTTAAATAGCCCCTTAAATACTGTGGATGTAGTGGTGGGATAATATAAACAGCTTTTAAATTATTTACTGCCTCCACAGATTGTTGCCTGTGCTGTGGGATGTACCAGCTTCTGTTTGGTACAAAACAAAGGTTATAAATGTCATCATCATCCCCAACATTAACAATAATGATTGTGTTATTAATAGTAATCATTGTAATATAATATAAATTCAATCCCAGGGAAATTCACTCTTGGTTCAAAAGGTGGAGAACAAAGGTAAAGAACAAAATCCTGAGGTAAATCTGGTGGGTTTTCAGGATCTCCCCAAGAAAAGAAAGCAGCCAGCAGCACCCCAAGGAGCTCGAGGAGGAGGAAGATGATCTCACTGGGAAAATCAAAATTCCAAAAGCCTGGCTTCCATCAGGAGAAGAAAGCTCTTAAGAGGAACCCGGACAATAAAGTGTCCTGTTGCACCTCATATTCCTGTTGAACTATAAAACAGAGATCTTCAGAAGCTTTTCTGCCTTTTTAATGTAAAAACATAACTGAAGAATCAATGCAGTCCAAGATAATAAATTAATCTTGTTTCATCCTCCTCACTTTCAGAAATCAGTCATTATAGTCAGCAACCTGTGCAAGGAATATAATATAAAGCAAGCTGGCTCGTTTTTTAAGAAGAAGAAGAAAACAGCCACCAAAAACCTTTCCTTCTGTGTTAAAAAAGGTGAGAACTGGGACTGTGTTGAACCTTGAGTTAATTCCCTGCACATTCTCGGTTAGCTGAGCAAGGACAGAAAGGTCAAATCTATTTGTTCTGTTTTTAAAGCACCTTCAATGTGGGGTTAATGTGTTAATGGTGCATCCTATTAATGATCTCTGATTGTCCATTATCTAAAATAAAATATAAATCCTGGGGAGAGGGGACCACTTTAACAGTGGCTCCTGGGACCAATTCACAGTCTCAGTTTAAGCTGAAATTTTATGGGCTCTCCGAGCGTGTATTTTGTACAATAAAACCATTTATTTTTTTATCTGTGATATTGGTGTGCTGCCTTGTCTATTTTTTCTCTTGTGGGACTGTGCATGATGCATTTCTTGAATGGGGAATAGTCCTAAGAAATTCTATGTACTGATTGCAGGAGAAGTGTTGGGACTTCTGGGGCCCAACGGAGCTGGGAAAAGCACAGCTATCAAAATGATCACTGGAGAGACAAACCCAACTGCTGGGCAGGTAGGAGACACCTGGAGACAAGGCATGGATCCATGATAAAAATCCAAACCTTGCCCTTGAGCTAAGCCATCATTTTTATCTAGGCTGCAATTTTTGTCAGAGCATTATTAGTGATCAGCATTTCAATCGAGTTCATCGTGCTATAAAATTAAATAATGTACTTATAAAATTACTGTGAGCTGCTTCTATTTTTAATAAGCTGTTGCATCAGCCCTAATTGCCATGTTTATATTTAAGAACAGTGTGAAATCACTCCCTCACTGTGCGTTTCCTCGCCTAAACCCCAAAATCCTCCCCTGAACCACCCCTTATACTGGGCAAGGCTGTGTGTGAGGACAATGCCTGGTTGTGCAGGTGCTGATGAAGAGGGGAGATGGAGGAGGCTCCCAGGACCAGGCCAGGAGAACCCGCTCTGGCTGGACCTCACCCCGCAGCAGCACCTGAGCGTCTACGCGGCCGTCAAGGGGCTGCGCAAGGAGGACGCGGCCGCTGCTGTCCACAGGTACAGAGGGAGCTCTGGGATGGGCCATCTTCCACCCCTCAGCCATGGGGAAAGCCAAAATTCACAGGAAAAAACCTTGAAAGAAACTCAGGGAACTCAGCTGCGAAAGTGCTTTTGTGCTCAATGCCGCGATTTAGTGAGTGGGTTGAGAAAACCTCCGATTTCCCTAAGTGCATTTGGTGGGGATAAATTTACCACTAACGCCCTTTTAAGAGTGTTATCTTTAGGCAGATTTTCTGAAATCTCTGATATTGGAGTTTGGCTCCACAAGAAAGGGTGCTGAGCTGACACTGGCAAGGGGGAATGGATTTGTAATGCTGTTGACACTGATGGTGGGTTTAGAAAAGAGCTTGTGGCTTATTCAGTACACTTTGCTTCAAATAGTCACTAGCATTTTAATAACACAATAAATGTTTAATGAAAACAAGAAGGAGTCAAAAGCAAGGGGAGGAAAGTTCGTTTTTCTTGTCATTTTTTGAGCCTTTGATGAGAGTATTGATCAGGAATAATAAAAATGTTATTTTTTCATTTTCCCCACAGAATTGTGAACGCTCTGCAGCTCCAAGACTACTTAAACAAAAAAGTCAGAAAATTACCTGCTGGGATAACCAGAAAGGTGTGTTTTGGGTCACCCATAATGAGCACTGCAATTAAAACTCTCCTTCCTGCGTGGAGGGACCAACCTGTGCCCTGAGGCACCCGGGAGAGCCTCGTGGTGGGTGGGGTGATGGAAATGAGCTTTTCCCATCAACCATAAATGAGGAGGCTCCAGCTGTGTGTGCACACAGTGCCAGGGTGTGCAGCAGGTCTGGCTGAGCCCCCTCTCCGTGTCACAGCTGTGTGTGGCACTGTCCATGCTGGGCAACCCCTCCGTGCTGCTCCTGGACGAGCCCTCCACCGGCATGGATCCCAACGGGCAGCGCCATGTCTGGTGAGCAGGAGCCTGGGCACTGGGCCACCATGGTGGGAAAGGGATGGGGAAGCCAAAAAGAGATGTTTAAAGTTATGTGAAAAGGGTTTTACCCCATCCACAGACGGTGCTGTCCCTCACGTTACAATGGTTCTGTTGGAAAACACGTTTCTTGTCTCTCTCTAACTCAGGGATGAGCAAGGAGAGAGAAAAACTATTTTACCTTCATCCTTTTTGCATGATTTAGGGGAGTCCTGAATGGGACTTGGGAGAATTCATAAAGAGATTCAAGTCAAAAGTATTTTTTGTCATTATTTCAAAGCATTACCGTGTGCTCATTAATCTAAAGTTGCTGCATATGAAAATTTTAATCTTATTTTAGGGGAAAGGCATTTGGATGGACAAAGATATAAAAACAATGCCTGATATTTCTAGAGAGCGTTAGAATTTCTTTTATATATTTTTTTACTCTGATCCTAAGGAAAACAATCCGGGATGCCCTGAAATCCAAGGAGTCAGGAGCCATCCTGACCACGCACTACATGGAGGAGGCGGAGGCCGTGTGTGACCGCGTGGCCATCCTGGTGTCCGGGCAGCTCCGGTGGGTGACAGCACCTGGAACTGAGCTGGAACTGATCCCAGCTGCTCCTCCAGCCTCACCTGCCATGGCTTTTATGAAGTGTCCCATGGTTTCCATCTCAGGAAGGAGCAGGTGCTGAGGTGACAATGATTTCACCGTCGTCTCTGCTCCTCCCTGCCCTGCAGGTGCATTGGCTCCATCCAGTACCTGAAGAACAAGTTTGGCAAAGGATATCTCCTGGAAATCAAGGTCAAGGATCCAGAGAGCGCTGATGTTCTGCACTCTGAGATTCTGAGGATTTTCCCAGGTGCAGCCCGTCAGGAGAGGTAACTATGAAATATGGATTGAGGAGCGGTTCCAGCACTGCCTCATCCCTGAAAACATGCCTGGTGTGATGGATCTCAGCTGCAGAGGGAGGAACAGCTCCCTGTAGCGGGCTCTGATTTCATAACCTCACCACTTCCAGCCCTGCTGTGATCCCAGCAGCAAGACATCCATGCATCCATAAAGATTCTTGCTCAATCCAGAGCAAGAATCACCTTTTCTTCTGTTTCCTCAAGGTTCCCCTCTTTGCTTGTCTACAAGGTCCCAATGAAAGATGCACTGCCCCTGTCACAGTCCTTCTCCAAGCTGGAAGAAGGTAAGAGCAAAACCAGGTGGCTTTTCAAAAAGGCAGAACAGGAACTGCTCATTTCCAACCCTCTTCCCATTTCTGCACAGCCAAACGGAGCTGCAGCCTTGAGGAGTACAGCTTCTCCCTGAATACCCTGACTCAGGCAGGTGATTTTTATTTGTGCTGTAAAGGCAGGAGCAGGGACAAAAGCTGCAGCCAAACCCAGGCTGGTGCAGTGGCAAAAGGCAGCTCCACCAAAAAACCTCCTGAGGGTGGTGGGTGAGGGGTGAGGGGTGGTGGGTGAGTGGTGGGAAATGGTTTGGATTCTTTACTGCTGGGATTTTGTGTGGTGGGGACAAGTCAGGATGAAGTCTCAGACCCCACCTGGTTGAGAAAGGCACACAGCACACCCAAGGATGGAGCTGCCCTTGCCCAGCCCCTCGGGGTGCCCTGGAAACAGCAGATTATTTATTGCTGCTTGTGCAAGGCTGGTGGAAAGATAAGGAATGTTGAAGTCAATCCATAGGTGGTGAAAACCCATATGGAAACCCCTTCAGGCAGGTGGTGCCTGTCTGGTCACTCCAGAGAACACAGGAGGCTCAGCTCCTGCTCCCCTGTCCCCCAAAAACCTCTCCACACCTCTCCCAGGGGCTGCAGAGCTGTCCCTCTTGCAAAGGAGCAGCACAGAGAAATAACCCAAGCGTTACCTTGCCCATCCCAGGTGTTTCTGGAGCTCTCCCGAGAGCAGGAAAAGGATAATTTTGACCTGACTTTGGATGGGACTTTCGACTGGAAACAGCTGCAGCAGGAGGACTGTTAAATGCTGGTTTATGCCTTGCTCAGTATTAACCAAACTGCACATATTTACTGCCACTCTCAGCGTACCACGGAGAGGGGACCAGGCTCCTCTCTGACATGGAAGGTGTTTCACCTGCACTCTGCTCCAAGCTGCACTTCCAAAGGCTGGTTGGGAAAACAGTGACTGCTCTGGTGAGAGCTCTCATCAAGCCAGGCAGGATGAAGCAGGAGGACTGAAAGCTTTGCAGAAAGAAGGGACCAGATCCATCTCTGGGGATCAGATTTCTCTGGATCTGGGTGCATCAGGGAGTCTGGACACGCTGCTGCCCTCCTGGGTTCCTCCCCCATCAAATGTCTGGGACTATCTGCCTACGACATGTTCTTACTGGAATTTGCACTCTGTTCTCATACCAATAAACGTCTCTGTAGAAACTGCAGCTCCATCCTTGCCTGTCCTCACTGCTGGGGACCCTCAGGAACAGCTCCAGCTCCCTCCCCTGGGGATGGGGATGCTGCAGAGGGCAGGGAGATGTTTGCCTGGCTCAGCAAATGCTCAGCCCTGCCCTCCCTCCACTCTGGGGCGAGTCATTGTCAGTCCTTCCCCTGGAAACCACCCAGGGGGAGAAGAGAAGGTTCCAGGGATTCCTAAGAGCCTCTTCCAGTAGCTAAAGAGAGCTGGAGAGGGATTTTTTACAAGGGTATGGAGTGATAGGGAAAGGGGAATGGTTTCAAACTGACAGAGAGCAGGTTTAGATTGAATATTGGGAAAAAATTCCTCCCTGAGAGGGAGGTGAGACCCTGGCACGGGGTGCTCAGAGAAGCTGTGGCTGTGCCATCTCTGGAAACATTCAAAGCCAGGTTGGATTTGGTTTGGAATAACCTAGTCTAGTTAAAAGTGACCCTGCTCACTGCAGAGAGGCTGGGTTGGATGACCTGTAATGTTCTTTTCAACACAAATTATTCAATTACTTCCCTCCTTTTATCCCCGTGCCCGGCTGAATTTGCAAAGGTTAAAACTCTCACACAAAATCTTCAGTTCTCTCTACACAGTCCCAGTGGTGGCTGTGTTGCAATCACTCTTTGGGCACATCCCACACTTTAAAACATATTTTGGCATCTGGAGGACACATCTTTAGAGACACGCTGGTTGTTTTCCCCTCAAGTGCAAGGAAGCAAACCCAACAAGAAGTGATATTTCTGAGAATTCTCTGAGCTTCCCAAAAAGCAGTGATGCAAGCTCCAAAGCAGCTGAGACAGAATCCTGCGGGGTGGGAGGAGGGGATGCCGAGCACAGGGCTGGTGTCCTGCAGAGGAATCCCATGGCAGGGCTGTGACACTGGGTCCTGTGACAGGTGTCTGGCACATCCCCCAGCCCCTGCAGCTCCTCACAGTCCCTCCTGTATCCCCTGCAGTCCCCTTGAGCAGCCACCTCCAGATCCTGGAGCTCAGCTGGACAAAAAACAACCCAGGCAAAGGCTGGAGCAACATCAAAGGGAAAGCTCTGTGTGTGTGTGTCCTGGAAGGAAAGGCACCATGAACAAGGGTGTCACCTGCTCTGGGCACCTCCAGCACACAGCTCCTGTCCCTGCTCTGGCCATGGGGGCTGGCCCAGAGCAGAGCCAGATGTTCTCCAAGCAGCAGAAATGAGGCAAGACAGATGTTGGCAACCTCCATGGCTCAAGAGGCCAATTCTCTTTTTCCATCCGCTTGAGACAAGAGGAAATGGGGGTTGGATTCCGTGTCCGTGTGGAGGGGGAGCAGGGTGGATCAGCTCCCGGGAGCACCAGGCTGTTGGAACAAGCATTTCATTTTTAAAGCATTTCAACTTGAATTACTCTGCAGGTGAAGCTGAGAAGGATTTTCCTCCTGCTCTGCTGCTTCCTGATTCATCTTGGCACCTCCAAACCCTTCGGAGACTTCCAGCCCCAAATATTCTCTTTAGCAGCAGATGGCTCAAATATCAGGCAGAAGACGACGTGTGGTTGTGGCAGCAGCCAAACCCAACAAAACATTTGCTTCAAAGCAGGAGGAAGGACAGCGTGTCCAGCTGGGAAAAGCAGGAAATGGTTTCTAGAAGAGTGAAAGAAGGGGATGGAGAAGGAGGTGATTGTGTAAGACATGATGTTTCAATTAGAATGGTCCTGAATGAAATCAGCAGTGGAGATCTTTAATTTCTTCCTGTGCATCTCCATCACAGACATCAGATGGTTTTATGGACAGATCCATCCATCCATCCATCATCCATCCATCCATCCATCATCCATCATCCATCCATCATCCATCCATCCATCATCCATCCATCCATCCATCCATCCATCCATCCATCCATCATCCATCCATCATCCATCCATCCATCCATCCATCCATCCATCCATCCATCCATCCATCCATCCATCATCCATCCATCCATCCATCCATCATCCATCATCCATCCATCCATCCATCCATCCATCATCCATCCATCATCCATCATCCATCCATCATCCATCCATCATCCATCCATCATCCATCCATCCATCATCCATCCATCCATCCATCCATCCATCCATCCATCCATCCATCATCCATCATCCATCCATCATCCATCCATCATCCATCCATCATCCATCCATCCATCCATCCACCCACCCACAGACCTTGGTTTTCTTTGGCCTCATTGTGAGAAATTCATTTCATGTTCCAAATGCAAATCTTCTCAAGAATTCTCAGGATGCTAAGGAAGAATCCAGAAAAATTAACAAAAAGAGGGGAGGGGGGTATTGTTTAATTATTTTTGTTTTAATTTGAGAAATAACTGGCTTGCAGTCTGCTGTTTGTTTCCTTCTCAGGGGAGAACATAAGCCTCCTGCCCACATCGTGTCGAGGGCTCCACATTTCACACAAGGATTTCCCTTTTCTCCAAGTGAAACAGAGTTTGTGCCTTTTTTTGTTTGTTTGTTTGTTTTCCACGCGGAAGTGACTCCGCACAAAGGCTTTCCCAGGAAAATGATGGGAGCCTTTTCCTTGGCTTTCCTGGAAGCGATGAATCACCTCGCTCCCTTTTTAGGGAGGAGGGCGCGACCCGGTGCGACATTCGCGCTCGTGCTGTGCCACCTCCTGGTGACATCGGGCGGTGCATCCCGGCATCCCTGCATCCCTTCATCTCTGCATCCCTGCATCCCTGCATCCCTGCGTCTCTGCATCCTGCATCCCTCTATCCCTGCATCCCTGCATCCCGGCATCCCTGCATCCCTGCATCCCTGCATCCCAGCATCCCGGCATCCCTGCGTCTCTGCATCCCTGTATCCCTGTATCCCTGCATCACTGCATCCCAGCATCCCAGCATCCCTGCATCCCTGCATCCCTGCATCCCTGCATCCCGGCATCCTTTCATCCCTGCATCCATTCATCCCTGCATCCCCCCATCCCTGCCCAAAACCCAGCCACCTGCAGGTGTGCATCTCCAGGATTTTCTGGTTTTGTCTCCCAGCTGAGCCCAGCTGTTGCTCCCCAGACCTTTGTTCTGCAGCTCAGCACCAGCGCTTTGGGCCCAGGCCAGAAGGAGGAGGTCAAGCAGCTGCTCCCCAGGGCTCTGGATGTGGCTGGTGGCCACGGGAGTGCAGCAGGGACATTCCCTTCTTCAACCTGCCCGTGGTGAAGCTCTCACCTCATCAGTGGCATCAGAGTTTTGGGGGAAGATGAGTCCTGGGATTCCCTTTGCCCATAGGGACATCTCAATATCAATTGTATCCACTTAATACAGAAGGGAGAGGAAAATAAATAAAATAAATAAAAAATAACAGGCGTTCCAATATATCCCTGTGTCTCCTCCAGTGCCAGCTTCCTTGGAATACTGTTATGCCTATAGCCAGGGGGTTTGGAATTAGGTGATTTTTACCCAAACCCAAGCCATTCTGTGATTCTGTATCATGGGAAGGTATCCCAGCCCTTCCTGCTGCAGTTTGGGATTATGGCTATCTGCAGCCTTTAATCCCTGCTCAGCTGAGGAGAGAGGTTCTGGTCAGTGGTGCCTCCATGCTGCCAAATCAGACTCTCATTTTTTGCAGTCACAACTTTCCTCCCACTCCCACACCGAGCTCCATAAATCTGTGTCTCCTTTCCCCTTGGAGGGGCTGAGGATGCTCCCAGTTCAGGGCAAGAAGGAGCAGTTAATTGACAGGGAAAGAATGACAAAGTGTGGGCACAGATCCAAAACCAGGATTTATTTAGGAAGATTTTCTGGTTATTATCTGCTTAGGAACAGAGGATTTGTCGGAACAGATCAGAGCATTTTCATCAGATCTGGCATCCTGCATGGAGTGGTGATAGTGAGAGGAGGCTCCTGGGGGAAAGGAGGATTCTCTCAGAAGTGCAGGTGCTTGATGCTGCTGGAAAGGGGGAAAAAGGCAAGGCTGGGGTAAAACCAGAACCAGCAGCAAGGTCCAGTCCCTGTCACCTGTCACCAGCACAGACACCTTCAGCCCGAGCCAGCAGAAGTGGAGGGGAGGCTCCCCTGCTGCAGGATGGTGAGAGCTGGCCATGGGCTCCAGCACGTTAAAATAAACACAAATCCTTCCCTAACTCAGCCCCAGCTCCAGCCACATCCCCCTGGCTCAGCCACAAGGACTCCTCTGTGTCACATCTGGGGACACAGAGCACAAAACCCCCCAAGAAGTTTCTTGGCTCCACCAAGAAACACATTTTGGATACTGACACTGGCATTCCAGTAACAACAACGTCATCCCAGGCCATGGAGTGCTTGGGAAATGTTTGGTTTACGAGACAGGGCTGGAGCTGCTGCAAAAACAATCCCTGTTCTTAAAAAGAAAACATTCTCTTGTAAACAAGTGGGAAAAAAATCCCCAGGTGTGTTTATCCAAAGGAAAGGGGATGGGGAGATGCCCTTTCCAGGGCAGGATGAGGCTCTGGAAGGGCAGTGGAGATGAAGAGCTGCGTGGCAGAAGGGAGAGCGTGGGCTGGGCAGGGCTGGGAGCGCTGGAGCTGTGGTGGCCTCAGCTCCTCGGTGCTGCTCTCGTTCATAAATAGAAAGCAGCGAGTTATAATTAGAGTTCATCGAGTGGGGCTGGAGGGACGACAGGGAACCTCTCCAAAAGAACAATGTCCAGTTCAAGCACAGCTCCTGGGGTCGTGTCTGGAGCAGAACACCCCGAGAAGTGCCTCAGCCCACGGAGACAGCTCTGGGAATCAGGGGTTTCACCTCTGCTCCGTGGCTGGGGTGGGGCAGGAGCACCCCAAGGATGCTCTGTTCTCACCCCACTGTGTTTCCCTGTCAGGCCATCAACACAGAAGCTTTGCCTTGGATGTTTTATCCCCAGCACCTTCCCCAGGACTGGGAGGACACAGCCAGCTCCTGGCACCCTGTCCTGACACACATGAGGAAGCTGCTTCCCACACCGGGTGTGGGGAGACCTTTCCATCACCTCTTCAAGCTGCCCCA